GCAGGACAGCCGGCTGCTGCAGCAGGGCCCCGGGGTGCCCCCACCCGCCTCGCCCGGGTCTGGACGTGCCTGGAGATTCGCCAGAGCTGTCCTGACGGAGGGGCATTGCTGGCGACGGCTCCACGCAGCAGACACCGGTAGGGGGTGTGCAGGAGGCAGCTGGCCGATGTTTCTAGCTCTCTCTCCCTCTGTGAGTGCCCAGACAGAAACGGCCGGTGCAGGCAGGCCCTTCGCCGCAGAGCCCCAGCCCAGCTTCGCAGGAGCAGCCGAGTCCACGCCCGTCACCGCCCCGTCGCCCTGCTCCCTCTGGAAGTGGCCTCTGTGGCTTCATCTTCCTCATCCTGGTGCAGCTCGAGTCACCTAAACAGGACATGCCCGGCGGCCTAGCCCGGTGCCCTGGCCTCCGTGGCGAAGTCTGGGGAAACCCAGGAGGCAGGGAACCAGGCCGAGGTGCCCAGGGCACAGGCGGGGCCTCCTCTGTCCCCCTCCGATAAAGGGCCCCGTCCTCTGGGCTCAGGCCGCTGCTCTCTCGGGGTGCAGAGGGCAGGGGGTGAGCCGGGGGTGGAGCACTGGGAGCCCCAGGCCTTCATTGCCACCACCCATGGCTGCGTGGCCTGGAGCAAACCACTTCCGCTGCCCGGACCTCAGTCTCCTCGTCTATAAAGAGGGATTTGGCCAAAACCGGTTTGGCTCAGTGGATAGAGCGTCTGCCTGAGAACTGAAAGGTCCCGGGTTCGATTCCGGTCAAGGGCATGTACATTGGTTACTGCACATTCCCAGTTGGGGATGTGCAAGAGGCAGCTGGTCGATGTTTCTCTCTCATCAATGTTTCTATCCCTCTCCCTCTCCCTTCCTCTCTGTAAAAAATCAATTAAAAAATAATAATAAAATAAAATATATATATATGTGAGTGTGTGTGTGTATATATATATATGTATATGTATATGTGTATATATGTATGTGTATATGTGTGTATATGTATATGTATATGTATATGTGTGTGTATATATATATGTATATGTATATGTGTGTATATATAGAGAGAGGGGGGGGGGATTTGAGGCTCCATCACCCAGGCCTGTGACCACGCCGGCTCTCTGTGGCTCACAGGACCTCTCAGAAAGCCATGCCCAGGCCCTGACACAGGCCTCCCCTGAGCCCTGAAACAGGAAGCCATTCAAGACAAAACCACCAGCAGGAGCAGGTCCACCGCTCACCTCCTGGGGGAGCCCTCACTGCCCTCAGCTAGACCTCCCCAAGGACGCAGCTGTGGCGGGCTGCCCGTTGGACTGACCTGAAAGAAAAAAGGTTAAACAGGAACTGTGTGCGGAGGGACTGGGCACCACCCTGGGGGTCAGGCCAGGCACTGTCCAGATCCTGAATCAGGCCGTGGAGGCGAGAGCCGCCGAGGCCCTGTCCCCCGTCCGTCAGGTCACAGGGAACATGACAAGGGCCACCTCCATCACCGCTCAGCTGCAGGCCAAGCTCAGGGACCTCAGGCCGCCTCACCTCCACACCAGCCAACGGAACTGGGCAAAGCACACGGCTCTCGGGCCCCTGGAGGTGTAGGCAGTGAGCTCCAGAGAGAATGAGGGAACAGACAGGAAAGCTTGGCTGCCTCGGGGAAGGCTCTCAGTCTCTGGGCTTTATTGTACTTGCTGTAAAACCGGGAGAAGAGTAATGATGGAGCCGAAACCTGTTTGGCTCAGCGGATAGAGCATTGGCCTGCGGACTGAAGGGTCCCGGGTTCGGTTCCGGTTGGGGGCATGTGCCTTGGTTGCGGGCACATCCCTGGTGGAGGGTGTGCAGGAGGCAGCTGGTCGGTGATTCTCTCTCATCGATGTTTCTGACTCTCTATCCCTCTCTCTTCCTCTCTGTAAAAAATCAGTAAAATATATTTAATTTTTTTTTAAAAAAGAGTAATGATGGGATGGATGCAAGGGATAAAATGTATAATACGTAGATACGTGCTATAAATAATAAATTAATTAATTAATAATTAAAAAAACAGCAAAAGGGCCACTCAGATGAACCGGTGAAAGTGGAAAAGGAAAAGTGTGGAATTTTGTGGAATTCCTGCAGTAGGAAGGAGCCAGCTTGTGAGACTTGATGTTTAAGTGCTGGGTCATTCTGCTAGCCAGTGGCCTCACAATGATCTACGGTGGAGCATTTACACTAGAGAGACACACACCAAACATCAGGGGGGTTTTTCCCCAGAGAGCCATTGTTCCGCCATTTGCCAGCACACCACTGCACATACACAGGCGACGCAGCCGAAGTCAGCGTGCTGTTGCCTCAGACACACTGTCCTCGTCCCAGTGAGAGCAGGCTGACTACTGTAAGACAGCAGCTTGGGAGGCCCTGTAGCTCCCTCACACTTTCAGAACGTTCCCATTTCTACACCGATGGAGACTTACTACGTGCCCGGCCCCCGCCGGTGGAGGAGTGAGAGAGCGCACACTATGAGGTCCTCTGAGCGGGGAGGTCCAAGCCCGCCCACTGGGAAGGGCACTATGGCAGAGAGAGCGGCTCAGGCACAGAGGCTCGGGGATACGACAATGCTTTAAAATTCCTCTGTAGCTGAAACCGTTTGGCTCAGTGGATAGAGCGTCGCCTTTTGGACTGAAAGGTCCCAGGTTCGATTCCGGTCAAAGGCATGTACATTGGTTGTGGGCACATCCCTGGTAGGGGGTGTGCAGGAGGCAGCTGGTAGATGTTTCTAGCTCTCTCTCCCTCTCCCTCTCCCTTCCTCTCTGTGGAAAATCAATAAAATATATTTTTTTAAATAAAAATAAAAAAATAAGATTCCTCTCTAAGAATTGGCTTTGAGGGAGTTTTAGAGTCGTCACATTACAGCTACCACTTATTCTAGCAAAACGAAACAGAAAGAAAAAGACAAGTGCATCCCTCACCCTGTCCCCTTCACCAGACTGTAGCACCACATTTCCTTTGACTGCTTCCAGAACCCAAACCTGCTTTCAGGAGGGGAATCTGCCACCCCTGAGACCAGCTCCCCCAAACAAAGAGGATCGCCAGGAGACATCGATGGCGGCGGCACCCCGAAGGGTCTGAGCCCAAGCGCCCACGGTGCCGACCGGAGGCTGCAGCGGGTGGAGTGTCCAAGGCCATCTGACTCCCCGTCTCATCCTCAGGCCTGCTCTACGGGAAACAGCGAGCACCAGCTTCTCTCTGCTAAGACCGTCCACGTTCTGCCTTGGAGAATGCCAAAATTTGAATTTCAAAAATGAAGAGGGAGGGGGTAGGGGGGATCCAAAAGCTTCCAGACAGAAAAAAAGGAGGTTGCCTTTAAAGGAACAAAAGTCGAGAGGAGGGTGGGAGGGAAAAAAAATAATAATAAAAAAAAATAAAGGAACAAAAGTCAAGGTGACCTGAGACTCTGCAGCATTAAACACTGTCAGACAGTGAAACCAGGTCACAGACCCCATGCCGGCCAAGTCACTGCAGAGGTAACAGCCTGTCATTCACTCATGCCCAGCTCAGCAATGCATCACCCACACGCCCTTTTAAAAAAATATATATATATATATAGATAGATAGATAGAGATATAGATATATAGATGTATAGATATATACACATATATGTAGATATATACACGTATAGATATATAGAAAGATATAGGTATAGGTGTAGGGTAGGAGTAGATATAGATATAGATATATAGATAGGTATAGGTATAGGTATAGATATATAGTTATAGATATAGATATAGATGATATAGATATAGATATAGATATAGATATATTGTAGATATAGATATAGATATAGATATAGATATAGATATAGATATATAGATATATAGATATAGATATAGATATAGATATAGATATAGATATAGATATAGATATAATTTGAAGGCACATCAACTGTCTGGAGAGAAGTTAAAATACAAAATTTCAAGGTGGAGACATTGAGGTATCATATTGTTACAGAAGACCGGAGAAAAACCAAGCCACGCTTAGAGAAAGGGAGCTACGTTTTATTGCGCACAGGCCCAGAGAAAAATGTGTCTTTCCCATGCCGGGCCCCTGCAGGGGGAAAGCTTTTCTATGTCTGCTTCTCCTGGCTCTTTCGTCCCCCAGATTTGGAAGGAGACTTCCGGGCCCTCTGGGAAGGGGCCATGCCCTGCCCGGGGTCGGGCGGCAGCCGCGTGGGCTGAGCACAGACACCCGCTGCCCTCAGACCCAGGCAGGCCGGCTCCCTTCTCTGAGCTGCAGAGGCTCTCCCTGCCGTCACGGGCTGGCTTCGAGCCATCGGAACGGCGCCTACACACCGTGCGAGGCGTCGACACACCGGGGCGTCCCGGCCCCCGCCGAACAGAGCCCAGGGGCTCACAGGGGCCTGGCTCTCGGGGCCCCTCGGGGACACCCTCGGGGTGCCTGCTGCGGGAGCTTCTTTGGGGCCATCCCAGGGGAGGAGACCCCACGACCCCGACGCCGTCTGTGGCACGAACAGCCCTCCCGCCTGCCCGGCCCAGGCCCAGGCCAGCCTCTGAGGACGGGTTCCAGCCAGGAGCAAGGCAGAGCTCGAACCCTCCGCCACCGGGACCAGCCGAGCCCCGGGAGCCACAGGCTGGGCCGGCGCCTGGGAGGGGAGGCTCGTCCAGCGCACAGCACGTGCCCCGAGAGGTTTATTCGTGGCCGCACTCCTGCCCAGAACAAGGGCCGGACGCATCCTGATGGGGGAGCGAGACCACCAGACTGCCCGGCCAGGCGCCCACGGAGACGGGATGTCCCTGCCTCCAGCACCGCCCTTTGCCCTTTAAGTCTCCTCCTGAGAGGCAGGGCAGCCCAGTCCGTAACGAAATGAGGTCCTGGCCCCACCGGTGTGGCTCCGTGGACAGAGCGTCAGCCTTCGGCCTGAAAGGTCCCAGGTTCGATTCCGGTATGGACACGTGCCTGGGTTGTGGGCTCCATCCCCAGTAGGGGGCATGCAGGAGGCAGCCGATCGATGATTCTCATCACTGATGTTTCTCTCTCTCTCTCTCCTTCCCCGTTCCTCTCTGAAGTCAGTAACCATGTATTCCAGAAGTTATAGTTCCTGGAGGCTCCTTGTCTGGTCTGACACGTGCTGGGCCCAGATCCCCGGGGTGCTCCCCGCTCGGCCAGCATCAGCCACCCCGCCGGCCGGTCAGCCCCCTCCCCCTCCCGCCGGGGCTCCTGCGCGCCCAGAACAGCTAAAGCCTGGAGCGGGCGAATTCCAGCAGGGGCTCCAGCTGCTCCTCCAGGCGCTGCCCATCTCCGTCGTTCTCGATGACCCAGTCGAAGGCCCCAAAGGCGTCCAGGCCACACTCGGACTCCCCGTCGTCCACTCCTGCGGAGGAGGCACGGCGGGGTCAACGGTCAGGCCTGCTCCTCCCAGACCAGCACGGGCGTGGAATAAGGTGACCAGACGTCCACCGCCAAAAGCGGGACGTCTGGTCACCTTAGCGTGGAGGCCTGCTGGCCTCGGCAGAGCACCTACGCCCGGCCTCTCCCCTTCCACTCCAGAGCCAAGCTCCTCCCCACCCCCACCCCACGGAGGGTACTCCCCGACCCCCGGAAGGCCCCGAGAGCAGGTTCAGGAGCCCAGGGCCCCCTGAGCCCTCGGAGGGCGCCGCGGACTAAATTCTTCCCTTGCGGCTTCCTACGGAGGGCGAACTGGGCCCTCTGAACCACAGACCGCCCCGAAGGGGTTGTCACTCAGTGTGACCTCATTGCTGCCTGCTGTCTGTCCCTGAGTCGCTGTGTGCCACCCTCGTTGGAGGGGAGAAGGGTGCTATGGGCATCCCCTGGCCGGTTTACGAGCGAGGAGCAGTGTTTAGCACAGGCTGGCCCGTGGTGGGTGCCAGAGAGATGCACGGCCATCGGGAGGGGCTGTACCCACTGGATCTGAACTTCCCCGAGTCCCAGTGAGCGAGGGCAGGGGGGCCCGGCCTGCGCCTCCGCATTGCACAGAGCAGGTCCTCGCTCAGCTCGCACCACTGAGGCTGCCTCCCACGCACAGCTTCCTCTTGCTCCCGCCCCCCACTCTGCCCATCAAACAGGCCTGAGTTGGGGGTGGGCCCTCGTCCCTCCTCCAGGAGCCCACTGGCCTAGAGAGGACAGCCCGCCCTAACCAGTTTGGCTCAGTGGATAGAGCGTCGGCCTGCGGACTGAAGGGTCTCGGGTTCGATTCCGGTCAAGGGCATGTGCCCTGGCTGCAGGCACATCCCTAGGAGGGGGTGTGCAGGAGGCAACTAATCAATGTTTCTCTCTCATCTATTTTTCTGGCTCTCTACTCCTCTCCCTTCCTCTCTGTGAAAAATCAATAAAATATATATTAAAAATAATAATAAGAATAATAAGAAGAAGAAGAAGAAGAAGAAGAAGAAAGAAAGAAAGAAAGAAAGAAAGAAAGAAAGAAAGAAAGAAAGAAAGAAAGAAAGAAAGAAAGAAAGAAAGGACGGTCCAGAAGAAGAAGAAGAAGAAGAAGAAAGAAAGAAAGGACGGTCCAGGTGCGGGCACCTGCCAACATCACAGGGAACCTCTGCTCCCCTCCCTCCCCCCACACCTGCCCCCAATACACCCCACTTTCTAGCCTGGGACGCTCCTGAGTCTCGGATTCCCTCTCCTAAGCCCTCACTCACTCTCCCACCCCTTCCAGGAGGAGAGCAGGCGGCCGAGCACATGGGAGAAGGGGCCCGGTCTGCAGGTGGGTGGGGGGCTGTGCACCCGGTCTGCAGGTGGGTGGGGGGCTGTGCACCCGGTCTGCAGGTGGGTGGTGGGCTGTGCACCAGGTCTGCAGGTGGGTGGGGGGCTGTGCACCAGGTCTGCAGGTGGGTGGGGGGCTGTGCACCCAGTCTGCAGGTGGGTGGTGGGCTGTGCACCAGGTCTGCAGGTGGGTGGGGGGCTGTGCACCCGGTCTGCAGGTGGGTGGGGGGCTGTGCACCCAGTCTGCAGGTGGGTGGTCGGGGGCTGTGCACCCGGTCTGCAGGTGGGTGGGGGGCTGTGCACCCGGTCTGCAGGTGGGTGGGGGGCTGTGCACCCGGTCTGCAGGTGGGTGGTCGGGGGCTGTGCACCGGTCTGCAGGTGGGTGGGGGGCTGTGCACCCAGGTCTGCAGGTGGGTGGTGGGCTGTGCACCAGGTCTGCAGGTGGGTGGTCGGGGGCTGTGCACCCGGTCTGCAGGTGGGTGGTGGGCTGTGCACCCAGTCTGCAGGTGGGTGGTCGGGGGCTGTGCACCAGTCTGCAGGTGGGTGGGGGGCTGTGCACCCGGTCTGCAGGTGGGTGGGGGGCTGTGCACCCGGTCTGCAGATGGGTGGTCGGGGGCTGTGCGCCCGGTCTGCAGGTGGGTGGGGGGCTGTGCACCCGGTCTGCAGGTGGGTGGGGGGCTGTGCACCCAGGTCTGCAGATGGTGGTCGGGGGCTGTGCACCGGTCTGCAGGTGGGTGGGGGGCTGTGCACCCGGTCTGCAGGTGGGTGGGGGGCTGTGCACCCGGTCTGCAGATGGGTGGTCGGGGGCTGTGCGCCCGGTCTGCAGGTGGGTGGGGAGCTGTGCGCCGAGCCCTGGGGCAGAGGCTGCGAGCGGCTCACCTGGCGTGAACGCCCAGCCCCGCTGCTGCCGGGCCTGCTCCGAGGCCACCACGCGGACGGTCTGCGTCACTGCCCCGTAGGCCTCCCGGAACCACTGGACGTCGGACACCCGCCGCGTGTCACTCACCAGCTGCAGGGGACAGACAGGTGACCAGCAGGACGCGGTGCAGGGAGCAGCGGAAAGGGTGCTGCGGGGAGGGGAGGGAGAGGGGCAGGCCCAGCCCTCCTTTGGATAAGCAGGAGCGCAATGAAGTGGGGGGAGGGGGGAGACACGAAAGAGCCCAGACCAGTGTACCCCCATTCCCCTTATCACCCAACCAGCTGGGACAGACATCGCCGCCGCCTCCTCCAGGCAGCCCTCCCTGACTGCTGCAGCCTGCAGCCCACGCTGCCCACGCTCTGTCATTGTTACACGTGTGTTCGGGGATCGTGCTGGTCATCGCTGTGCTAAGCAAGAAGCCTCGGGCTTTGCAATCAGTTCAACTAGTTCAGTGGTCGGCAAACTGCGGCTCTCAGGCAGAGGTTTGCTGCTCTGTTGACTAATGAGTTTGCCAACCACTGCGTAAGGCATTATCCTTACCCAGAAGTTTTGACTTCAGGTTAAAGACATTAGTACATTATTATATATATGTTTCCTTATTGATTTCAGAAAGGAAGAGGTAGAGAGAGATAGAAACATCAACGATGAGAGAATCATTGATCGGCTGTGTCCCACGCCCCCCACTGGGGATCGAGCCCACAACCTGGGCCTGCGCCCTTGGCCAGAATCAAACCTGGGACCCTCAGTCGCAGGCGGATGCTCTATCCACCGAGCCAAATTGGCTAGGGCTGTGAAAATGGTTTTTAAGTGTTTTCCCCTAAGGCAGTGGTCGGCAAACTCATTAGTCAACAGAGCAGCAAACGGCGGCTCAGGAGCCGCAGTTTGCCGACCACTGCGGCTAGTTCAACACACTCACTTTACAGATGAGCAAACTGGGCCAGAAAGAGACACTCGTAACAAGTCCCTGCCCCCACCAGTGCGGGGCACGAGGCTGTCCAGGGGAGGCTGGGGAGGCCTGGGCCACGGGAGGTGGCAGCGAGGAGGGAGAAGAGGACACGTCTGAGTCTCATCGGGGATCGGGAGGACTGGGGGAACGGAGTTTCCTCCGTGCTGCCCGCGGCACCCTTACCCAGACCGGCTGGGCCACGCCCTCCACCACCTTCCTGCAGAAGAAGCCGGGGTCCGCCTGGCGCCGCGCCTCGCCCCAGAGGATCATGTCCCGCCGGTAGGACTCCTTGTAGGCGCTGGCGTCCAGGAGCCTCTGGAAGTTCAGGCCGTGCTCCTGCCCAAAGCACACGAGACCTGATGTCCGATGTCCACGCCCGGCCTCGCCCTCCCTTCTCCCGCCCACCTCCCCCAGGACGAGGCAGGGCCCAGCAGGGTTTCCACCAGGACAGAGGCCTGCAAGGGAGCAGGCTCTGGAAACGGAGAATCCCAACCACGGACGGAGGCCACGCCGGCCGGGCACAATCCTGTTCATCTTTATAAAATCCCCCACCTGGTTCAAAAGTCAAAAGATAGAGGCGCACGTACAGTGAAAACTCCCCCTCCGGCCACGGTGCCCAGCCCACAGCGCCCGCCCTGACGGCCCCCATGGCACCGTCTCCAGCCCCGGTAGGGGGTGTGCAGGAGGCAGCTGATCAATGAGTTGAAAGCTGTCCGTCTCAGCTTTCAGCTCATCTGAACGGTGCTTAGCACAGTGGTCGGCAAACTCATCGGTCAACAGAGCCACATATGGACAGGACAACGACTGAAATTCCTTGTGAGAACCGACTTCTGTGCGTGGGCCACGAAGGTTCAATCGCACCGAACGTGCGCGCCCGCACGTGGTGTTTTGTGGAAGAGCCACACGCAAGGGGCCAAAGAGCCGCACGTGGCTCTCGAGCCACAGTTTCCCGACCACTGGGTTAACACAATGCAGGCGCCCATAGATATTGGCTGCATGGCTGGCAATGGGAGCAGATGTATTTACAATCTTCCCCTGATATTATACAGCATCCTCTGTACTCGGTTCCAAATCCTGTTTGTTTCACTTAATAATACAGCCTGGCAATCCACACAACTGGATGTGTGAGGGGAGCACCCCCGGGTGTGGCACCAGCTGAGGCCGAGATGCTGGCCTGAGGGAGAGTGTGTGTGCGGGCGCTCACTAACCCACCTCCGCACTCCAGCCTTTCCTGCACGCCCTTTTTCCTTTTTCCTTTTTTATTGATTTCAGAGAGGAAGCGAGAGGGAGAGAGAGAGAAACACCAATGATGTGAGAGAATTATCAATTGGCTGCCTCTTGCATGCCCCACCCTGGGGATTGAGCCCACAACCCGGGCATGTGCCCTTGACCGGAATCGAACCTGGGACCCTTCAGCCCGCAGGCTGACGCTCTATCCATAGAGCCAAACCTGCCAGGCCTGGCAGGGCTGGAGGGACTTTCCTGAACCTGCCCTGGGGAGGGGCCTGACGTGCGAGAGGCCAACGGGAAAGAAGTGCAGGTTGAAAATGCCCCAAAAAGGTCCGCTCACAGGAAACGGAGAGCTGGCCACACACACACACACACACACACACACACACACACCGCCAGCAGCGGTCACAGGGATCCTCCTGGTGCCTCAGACGACAGCCACAGCCACCGTGCCAGGCGCTGGCTCCTTCCCGCCCCCAAAGGTCCCGTGTCACCGAGCGCCGCCTCCTACCTGGGCAAACTGCTCCTTGAGAGGGCCGGAGAGCCGCAGGACAGCGCAGACATCTGCTCCGAGTCTGTGGGACAGAGACCCAGGCCCAGTTCGCTGGGTATTCCAGGCCCAGAGAGTCCCAGGTAAAACAGGTAAAACTATGGTGACAGCGTGGTATTCTGGGTAGATGCTTTCCTGCTGGACCCCTGGGCCCGCCTCCCAGCCGGGGTATCGCAGCCTCAACACCCGTAATTCATTCATTCAATCCAGTGTACCCAGCCAGCCACTGACTGTACTGAACTGTATGCTCACAGATTCTCTCTCTCTCTCTTTTAATATATTTTATTGATGTTTTACAGAGAGGAAGGGAGAGGGATAGAAAGGTAGAAGCATCGATGAGAGAGAATCATGCTACTCAGGTACATGCTCTTGACCGGAATCGAACCCGGGACCTTTCAGTCCTCAGGCCGACGCTCTATCCACTGAGCCACACCGGTTTTGGCACACTGATTCTCTTGAACACCGGCATCGTGACATAGGCGCCCTTATTTCCGAGCTTCGGATGAGAAAACGAAGGCTGAGTGAGAAGAACCGACTCGCCCAACACAGCATCGCAAGTCATGAAGCCAATGTTGGTCCGAGAACACTAAGAGCCAGCACTCGTTCCTGCGCCTTGACGAGGCGTCAGAACTGGCCTTCCAAGGCCTTCACCGGCATTATTTCCTTGAACCCTTACAACCACCCTGTGACCACCCCAATCCCCCAAATAACGACACGGAGGCGCAGGACGGATATGAAACGTATACAAGAGCGAGAACTCAGAGGTGGCGGGTCAGGGTTTGCATCTCAGCAGCCTGACCCCAGAGCCTGTGCTTCTCACCACTCACTGTCTGACTCTGTGTCTGCGGCGACGGAGAAATGCAACTTGGGAAAAGGTGGCAGAGACTTGATGGGGGGAAAGCAGGTAGTGATCTCTACCCTGGGCTCCCCCACAAACGTTTAGAACCAACCCCTGCTGTGCCCCAAAGCAACTCTAGGTACCCCTCAGCCCACAGTGGTCAAAGAGGAGCCTGCCCTGCCCCCCACCCCGGCCCAGCCCCTGCCGCCCCAACAAAAACGCTCCCACACAGAACATCTCGGCCGGAGAGAAAGCTACTATTGGGGAGACAGTGAGGTGAAGCAGGAGGAACCCATTCCTTGGAGCGAGTTGAAGTTTGATTTCAGTCCCAGATCTGACTATGACTTTGTGACCTGGCAAGTCTGGGTTTTGTTCTTTCTGGTTTTTTGTGTTTGTTTGTTTTTCTTTTCAGAGACTCGGTTTCTGCATCTGTGAAATGGAGACACTAATAATACTACACAGTACCCTAACGAAGAGGTGTGGAGGATTAAATGGGATCATATATTACCATAAACACACAGCCTGGCTCATAACAAAGGCTCAATTAAACCCCAACTGGTAGATGGTGTGCTGAGCCAGGATTTTTATGCCTTTGGAGCCAGACACAGTCCTTTCCCTGCAACTCAGTTTCCATGCCTGCAAGGTGAGCTCCCAGCCCTGTCGCTGGGCTGGGTATGGAGTGTAAAAAGTGCCTTAGTGCCCTAGCTGGTTTGGCTCAGTGGATAGAACATCAGCCTGTGGACTGAAAGGTCCCAGGTTCGATTCCAGCCAAGGCACATGCCTGGGTTGCAGGCTCCATCCCCAGTAGGGGGTGTGAGGAGGCAGCTGATCAATGATTCTCATCATTGATGTCTCTCTCTCTCTCTCTCTCCCCCCCCTCCTTTCCTCTCTAAAATCAATAATATATATATATGTATTTTAAAAAGTGCCTTAGTGGTAACTTATTACAGCTTCTTGACGAGGGAGACCTGCCACCTAGTCTTGGGAGAGGTGGTCGCCTGTTTCTTCCAGGTGGGTGGATGTGTGCAGACTGCCGTTCATGTGCTGGTGACAATCCCCCCACTTCCTCCCACCTGTACCCCAGGACCCTGACGCCAAAGCTCACGCCCACCCAGCACACCCCGTGTCACGTGGCGGGGTCCCCCTCCCCATCCCCACCTGCTCTGCAGCGCCTCGGTCACGAAGTCCTTCCCGGATTTCCTCTTCCCGCTGAACAGCAGCACCAGCCGGGGGGCTCCTCCCTGCGGGGCCATGGGGCCCCCACACTTCGGCGATCCCTACAAATGACACGATTCCCAACCCTGAAACTGGGCCACCCATCCACCGGCGCGGAACGGGTGCGGCCACCGGGTGGAGAGGCCACGGGGCGGGCCCCGCGCGTCCTCCCCGCAGCCGTGGAGGGGTGACACCTGCACCCCCCGCACCTGCACGCCCGGCGTTTTAATTAACGTCCAAAAAGTTCAATCTGGAGGCAAAGACCCCAGGGCGGCCGGCCCGCTGCACACGCTCCCCCCCTCACTTAGCACAGTCCGGCCCCGCCCACCGGCCACGGCCCCGCCCTGAACTGACAGGCGGGGGCGGGGCCTGGGCACGACCATTCTCCGCGGAGGGGGGCGCCGTCTTAACATGTCCCGGCGCGAGCCTCACAGTCCCTCCCTCCCGACCCTGCGAATATGGTTGGCAAAGAGCAAGCACTATCGCGCGGGAGGAGCTTTCCGAACCGCCTCTGTGTCCGTGTGTGACGGTGCGTGAGCGAAAGCACGTCTATGTGGTCGCCACGGTGAAACCGGGACTTTCTGTGGACCCAGCGATGACGTCAGAGGGTGGCCCGGTGGCGTCATCCTGGGGGAAGAGCTTAGCCGCACACACGCCCTTGTTGTTACTGCTAAACTGTGTTAGTAACTGGAGAGGCTGCTGCGGGGCGGCCCTTCAGCCCAGCGAGAAGCTTACGTCGCTGGTCTAGCCACAGCCTCCTCCCCAAAGGTGTTGGGACCAGTTACAAAAGCGGGTAGACCTTTACCGGTTCCTAATGCGGGTTTTGTAGTCAGAGAAAACACGGTAATTTCAAGAGAAACATCAAAAAGTGGTTTGCTCAAAGTAATGTCCATCGCTAGCTGCACATTTCCCCCACCTTTCAGGTAATTTGCGGATACCGTCCCAATAGAACTTTTCTTGTTTTTGAGGCAGATCATTCAGAGACCCAGTTTTCCATTTCTTCGTACGTTTTGAAGTGCTGCACTGAAAGTGCATGTTCCATCCATCGGAACAAGTGGTCATCTGAAGGAGCAAGGTCTGGTGAATACAGCAGGTGGGTTCATACTTCCCAGGCAAGATCTTTTACCGGGTCTTTAACTGGTTTTGACGTGTGTGATGTTGCATTATCATGAAGCAAAATTCTTTGCTGTGTCTTCTGGCCCATTCTGGTGGTTTTATGATCAAAGTGTGGTTCAAATTGATTTGTTGTCAGGAGACGGGCCATGAGACCAACAGCTAAAAAGTCCAGTATGAGCAACTCTTCGTCCCCAAACGGGAGAGAGAACGTGAAATGCGTGAACTCTTGCAGGATGCTCGGGTATGCGCTCTCACTGGCTCTAAAGACGCATGCACCTGTTGTTCCCCTGCCAGAGGCACCCGGCCCAGCTTCTGCCTGCGAAACAAGCTCCAGCTTGTACCGTAACACCTCGCCTGTCCAGCCTCCTCCCGTGAGCCTGTTCTGCTCTCCACCCGTCTGACTTATACCTCTGTTTTCTCTGCTCCGGATACACCCTGTACCCACGATATCACAGCATCGCACCCTCCACTATAATTACCCCTTCACTCATGTCTCTCCCTCCGGGTGGCTAATAGATCATATTTATGGAGCAGTTACTAGGTGCCAGGCCATTTCTCAATCATGTGACCTAAACACTACTACCCCTACTTGAAAGTGAGGCAGCTGAAGCTCATTCTAGTTAAGAGATGTGCCCACCTCTTTATCAAAAACTACTGTACATATGCCTGGCTGGCGTGGCTCCGTGGTTTGAGCATCGGCCTATGAACCGGGAGGTCATGGCTCAATCCCAGTCAGGGCACAGGCCCAGCGTGGCATGTGTAGGGGGCAGCCAATGATCTCTCTCATCATTGATGTTTCTCTCTCTCCCTCTCCCTTCCTCTCTGAAATCAATAAAAATAAAATAAAAGAGAAATGCCACCGGCAGATGTGCCTTCCCGTGAGAGTGTGCCCCTCCCGCAGACCAAGGGCAGGCTGGAGCCTCCTGGGCACCCCAACGGGGGAAGGAGCCCACAAGCCAGGCATGTGCCCTGACAGGGAGTCCAACCAGCGCCCAACCAACGGAGCCACACTGGCCAGGGGAGAAAGGTTGGTGATTTAGATAGATATTTGTTTTTTTATATTATTTTGTAGTGAATGCAAACCTTGGAGCTGAGGAACTAAACCCATTTCAAATGCTATGAAAGTCATTTACTGCCCTAGCCAGTTTTGCTCAGTGGATAGAGCGTCGGCCTGCAGACTGAAGGGTCCCAGGTTCAATTCTGCTCAAGGGCACATACCCGGGTTTCGGGCTCCATCCCCAGTAGGGGATGTGCAGGAGGCAGCCGCTCAGTGATTCTTTTCATCATTGATGTTTCTCTCTCCCTCTCCCTTTCTCTCTGAAATATATATATATATATTAAAGTCACTGATTTCATTTGACTGTTTTTTAACGATTTTATTTATTAAAATAAATAATGATGTTTATTTTTTGAATGTATTTTATTGATTTCAGAGAGGAAGAGAGAGGGAGAGAGAGAAACATCAATGATGAGAGAGAATCACTGAGCGGCTGCCTCGCTGTGGCCATCGCCAGCCATCTCTGCGGAAGGAGCCAGGAGCGCAGGGACAGCAAGAGAAGGAACCTGCTTTAAGGAGCAATCTCAGAGCCAAAATGCCCAACCTGAAGAGCCAGAGAGGAGAGGGGAGGGAAGGGGAGGAAAGGAGAGAGAAGGGGAAGGGAGGGGAGGGGAGGGGAGGAAAGGGATGGAGAGGGGAGGGAAAGGGTGGGAAAGGGAGGGAAGAGAAAGGGAGGGGAGGGGAGGGGAAGGGTGGGAAGAGGAGGGAAAGTGAGGGGTGGGGAGGGGAGGGGAAGGAAGGGGAGGGGAGGGAGGAGCAACAGGGACTCTTCAGCAGGGGTCAGCAGCCATGGGCTCTGGCCTCCACTCTGTCCCTCGCGAGCTTTGTGAACTTGGACAAGTCACTTCCCTATCTGGTCCTCGGTTTCCACCGCTGGGCCCCTCCGGAGAGGAAGCGCTCAGGGCAGGGCCCAGGTGGCTGAAGTGGGGGGCACACAGGCCCGAGAGGAGGCCTGGGCTCCAGAAAAGGCACATGGGAACGGAGATATTGCTTCCAGCCTCCGAGCCCGCCAGCAGGGGGGACATTCCCAGTGCCTGCTGGGGTCTGTGCTCAGGGCTGCGGGCGGTCTTCCCACACTGTCACTCTTCAGCTAGGACGGGACCTTAGGCGAGTCCCGCCTCTCTCTATCTCAGGTTCCTCATCTGCAAAGAGGCGGTCATGGTCTTACCTCGAGGTACGGAATGGTTCTGGAGAGTTCACGGCCTGCTTTGTGGAGCCTCGTGGTTTCTTCACGGACGCCTCCCTACACGGCTGATCAGCAGGGGCCCAAGGCCACGTCCCAGACGGCGGGCATATGGCTGCTCTGTGTGGCCTGCATCCCAGACGGCGGGCATATGGCTGCTCTGTGTGGCCTGTGGGTAGTTGACCTTGTGTGTGTGTGGGGGGGGGGGGGGGGGCTGTTGTAACATTTTCCTCTTGGCTTCTAGTTTCTGCCTGTCCTGCCACAGTCCCATGACCTGGCCTTTGACATGGAAAGGGGCACTCCCTCGGGCTTAGTCAAGGGAAGTGCCTGGTGCCGGTAAGAATGTCTCCAGGGGGCCCTGCCCCGGAGAGGAATTGGGGGCGAGATGGGACATGCAGCTTGGTGGAGCAGAGAGGGATCTGCTGGGAGGGTTGCTCTGTCTCCTCTCAGATCCTGAAAATCTAGCCCAGCTGCTTCCCGGACCCACCCCAACGCGGTCAGCTGACACACACACACTCACACACACACACACACACACACACACCGTGGCCTTTCCTCCTCTCCCAGCGTGGCAGTTGCAGGAGGAGGTAGTCATCCCGCCGGAGGCGGGAAGCCCATGTGTCCTTGACTCTGCTGTCCGGGTCGGGTCCCACCCGTCCTTTCCACTTCACTAATCCAAATCAGGCCCTGCCCACGCCTTGCTTTTTCTTTTACAATATATACATTTTTTACAATACATTTCTACTGATTTCGGAGAGGAAGGGAAAGGGGGAGAGAGATAAAAACATCCATGAGGGGAGAGAATCACAGATCGGCTGCCTCCTGCAGGCCCCACACGGGGGACCGAGCTGCACCCCGGGCGTGTGCCCTGACCGGGAATCGAACCGTGACCTCCTGGGCCATAGGTCAACGCTCAACCGCCACCGACTACACCTTCCTCCCCTCTCAGCCGTTCATCTCCTTCACCCGAAGGTGCTCAGGAGACCTGCAACCAGGGCACCCGGGGCAGAGACAGCTCACCGTGGGCTGGCCCCCTGAGCCTGTCTCCCAGGCGCTTCTCTCCGGCTTCCCGGAGCCAGCGCAGCCCCGCCCAGCCGCTCTCCTTTCGCATCTAAACTATCCGAAGCACTTCCTGTTTCACAGCTCCAGCTTCCATACACGTGCTGTCCATTCAAAAAAAGTAAGTAAGCCGAAACCGGTTTGGCTCAGTGGATAGAGCGTCGGTCTGCGGACTGAGAGGTCCCAGGTTTGATTCCGGTCAAGGGCATGTGCCTTGGTTGCGGGCACATCCCCAGTGGGGGGTGTGCAGGAGGCAGCTGATCGGTGTTTCTCTCTCATCGATGTTTCTAGCTCTCTATCCCTCTCCCTTCCTCTCTGAAATCAATAAAGAAATATATTAATAATTTTAAAAAAAGATTAAAGAGCAGGTGCGTGTGGAAAGGGCCCGCCCATTTTTGTCCGAATCTGCTGAAGAGATGGGCAGCAGCCTTAGGGCAGAGCGCCCACAGGGGAGGGATCGGGAGCGCAGACAGTGCAATCAGAACCGGTGACACAGGGCTTCTGTGGCTCGGAGGCCGAGGGAAGTGGCGGGAGGGGCCGGCTGTCCGGATTTAGGACAGTAACACCCCGCCACCACCCTGCGGCGCCCCCGCCAGCCCTGCTGTGAGCAGGCGGAGTGTGAAGGGATCGGGAACAGCTGTCCCAGAACAAGACGGAGTGAGAAGATGTCCTTGCCTCGGGGTGGCCCTGGGAGGTTCCCCTGCCACAGCCAGACAGCCCGGCGTCTGGCCGTGGCCGGGAGGGCAGTGGCCGGGGAGCAGTTCTATAATGAAAGGAACACCAGTCTCCGGCCTGAGTGGACCGAGCCTGAAGGTGACCCACCACCCAACCCTGTCACCCCGGGTGGGTGGGAACGGAAGCAGTGGGCGCAGGGGGCCTGGAGGATGGGGAGACGGGGAGATGGGGAGATGGGGAGCCAAGGGCTGGAGGGGGGTGATGAGGAGGCAAAGCTGAGGGCAATGGGAAGGACGGCGGCGAGAGGGGCTGAGGAAAGGGGCCACAGCTGAAGAATGAGGGAAGGATGGAATGCGGGCGGCGGCAGGGAGAATGAGTGCTAGGGACTGACCAGAGGAAGCAGAATTTTTCCATCTGAGAGGCGAAGGCACCCGAGGGCCACTCCTGCTCCAGGGACTCCCCAGAGGCACCGGGGCTTTGCTCTTCGCTGGCGATTTCCCAGGGGAGAGGGCAGAAAAGCCACGAGCTCAGCACACCCAGAGCTCACGCTGGCAGGCCCAGAGCAGGCTCCCCATGGGCTCCTGCTTCCCGCCCAGCCAAGCTGTCCCCGAGCCGGGGGGGGGGGGGGGGCCGGGGTAGAAGCCCACGGCCCAGTGCCAGCCTCTTTGGCGCATCTCTACCCAGAGCCCGTCATACGAGCACCCGGGACCCGGGACCCGGGGCCGTGCTGAGGCGGGTGAGTGCGCGTGATGGAGAGGGGCCCAATGGCCTGCCAGGGCGCCCCGAGAGGGGTCATCAGCCTGGCCAACGCCCTTCCCCCCCACCCCCGGGGCCTGGCCCTCCCATCAGACCCCTGGTTTCCTGGCTCTCTCTCTCTCTGGTCCAGCCCTTTCAGAAACCTCCATCGCAGCCTCGCTGCTTCCTGAGTGGGCACGGAAGAGGGGGCGCTTGGGGGAACTTCCTAGCCTCCCTGAGAGTCCGTTATGCAAACGAAGGAAACGGGCCCTAGAAACGAAACTGAGATACCCCACACCAACGCCCTCTGGGAACCCAGGGAGGCCAGGTGTGTCCCTCCCCTAACCCAGCCCCCCCCCCCCCCCATCCTCCCCAAGACACAGCGTCCCACCTGCCTTCCAGCCGGAACCCCTCTCCTGGAAACCCAAGTTCACTGTCCGCGTGCGGCTGAGCAGGGCGGACAGGGCGGGACGGCGACCGAGTGAGGGACAACGGTCCACGGAGCTGGGATGCCAGCCCCAGACCGGGCCCTCCACCCACGGTACCTGGAGCAAATGTGGAGTCAGGGCGCCACCTAGTGGCTCCCTCACCTCCCCACCCCAGAAGCCTGCTTTGGGGAAGGGGTGGGGGTCCTTTCCTCCCTCCAAAGGGAGTGAGCCCAGCTGGCGTGGCTCAGTGGATTGAGTGTGGTCCTGTAGACCAAGAGGTCCCGGGTTCGACTCCCGGCCAGGGCGCATGCCCAGGTTGGATGCTTGACCCCAGTAGGGGGCATGCAGGAGGCAGCAGATGGATGACACATCAATCAATGTTTCTCCCTCTCCCTCCCTCTCTAAAAAAAGCAGTAAAAACATTTTTTTTAAAGGGGGAATGAAAACTTTATTTTTACTATTGACACTATTACAGATGATAGATGTCTCCATTCTCCCCCTGCACCCCCCTTGGCCTAGCTGCCCTCCTTCCCTCTGCCATCGCCACACATTCATGTCCATGCGTTATACCTGTGTGTCCTTTAGCATGAAATAACTTCCGAGTGCCAAATATTGGACGTCTTGCTTCCATTGCTTTATTTACTCTCCCCCCACCTACCTCCCAAACCCCGTTAATGGGGATAAGAAACGCAGGAGATGAACACGGTAAGCGCCATCCGTCACCGGTGACTGACACTAGATTTCCCGTCCCGAAGGCAAACAGGCTGGGCGCCTAACCTGTTAACTGGCCCAAGATCACTGAGCCTGGATCCGAGCCCACGCTCACGTCTTTCCATCTCCCAGGGAGAGGGCAAGGCGGCTGTAAGCCCATGGGGTGCTCCAGCCCAGGGGGCTGAAGTTGATGGGGGAGGCGGGGAGAAAGCAAACATGCTGGCTGCCTCCTGCACACCCCCCACTAGAGACTGAGCCTGAAACCCGGACATGTGTGCTGACTGGAATCGAACCCCAGAATCAAAACTGCAGTCTTTCCGTGCACTGGACGATGCTCAAACCACTGAGCAACACCAGCCAGGGCTCCAACAGCAATTTTTTTTTTTTTAATTATTGATTTCAGAGAGAGGAAGGGAGAGGGACAGAAACATCACTGATGAGAGAGAATCATGGATGGGCTGCCTCCTCCACGCCCCCCATTGTCATGTGCCCTGACTGGGAATCGATCCGTGACTTCCTGGTTCGTAGGTCAGCACTCAACCACTGAGCCACAAGGCCTGGCTCCAGCAGTCTTTATTGTGACTGGAGTCTACAGTTCCAGGGGGCAGCGAGGCCGTGTGGGGAGCTGGGCAGAAAGGGGGCTTCGCCCTCTGGCAAGAGCTGCTTCCGAATCCACTGAAACCCCTGGGAAGGCCTGACAGCGGCCTCCAGCCGGCAGCCCTCCAACCCCAGGGTGCGGTCAGGGGCGGCACCCAGGCCGGCTCCGGAGAGGAGGAAAGCTCTTCGGCTTCCAAATCAGAATGCCATCCCCCCACCCCGCCCCACCCAACCCCAAACCAGGCTTCTCCCCCCACCCCCTTTCACATTGGCGGACACAAAGGCCTGGCCCTGAGCATTTGTATACGTTTGCATAGATAGCGAGGCAGCCCGGCGAAGGCCTTCTCCTAGCAAAAGTGGCATCAGTGCAGGGCTGGGTGACGTCTGTCCTCCAGAAGGACGTCCTAGGACACCCACAGAGCCAGGCACGGCGGTTTCAGTCCCGGGCGGGCGGGCATCGCCAGCCGCGGCCTCAGCCTCTGCGGTGGTGGCTGTGCTCCTCCCTGGGCCCCATGGGCCTGGGGCCCCGGCCGTGCTTGTCTTTCTTCCCCGACCTGAGGGGAGAGGGGGCAGGGCAGGAAGAGCCGTTAGAGGACAAGGCCAAGTGATGAGAAGGGGGACCCCCTTCCGCCTACAGCAGCCACCACCAGCCATACGGGGGCCAGACTGGCCTCCAGGACGAAGGCCCGGCTGGGGCTGGGGAGGCAGGAAGGCGGGAGCAGTCTCCCTCACTCCTGGGCGGGCCAGTAGGTGGGCCAGGACGGCTGGGCAAGGGGATCCCAGCCCAACGGGGATCCCTCTGGTGCGCGGGCGTCCTGCCCGCCGAGATGGGAAAGTATCCGAAAGCCTTGCTGAGACCGGTTTGGCTCAGTGGATAGAGCGTCGGTCTGCGGACTGAAAGGTCCCGGGTTTGATTCCGGTCAAGGGAATGTACCTTGGTTGCAGGCACATCCCCATTAAGGGGTATGCAGGAGGCAGCTGGTCGATGATTCTTTCTCATCGATGTTTCTAGCTCTCTATCCCTCTCTCTTCCTCTCTGTAAAAAATCAATAAAGTATTTTTTTTTTTAAAAAAAAGAAGCTGGGGGGAGGTGGGTGACTACAAGTGGAGATGAGAACTCAAAGTGGAACGCCCTGGACTCAGGACCCTCACTCCCTCGCACACGTACCCCCTCGCCCCTTCTCCGCTGTCCCGCCAACACCCCCCAGCCGCCCACCTCTTCCTCAGGGCCTTGTCCCCAAAGAAGTGGCCGAGGACGAAGTCCTCGAAGTCGTCCACCTCGTCGTCGTCGCCGGTCTGCCTCTCGGCCGCCTCCTCCAGGCTGTCCTCCAGGGCGTCCACGAAGTCCCGGAAGCGCAGGCGGTCGTGGCGGAAGACGCCGTCCTCCCCGAAGTACGCGGGCGAGAGGGGCAGCTGCTCGGCCAGCGGCCCGGCCCAGGGCAGCCGCGCCAGGTAGGTCCTGAGCAGGGAGGCCAGCTCCTGCCGCCGCACCGGGGCCAGCTCCGCGCCGAAGAGGGCCAGGCCCTCCTGCCGCGCGCACTCCCGCACGCCCGCGCAGCCCTGCGGCGCCCGGTACTTGTGCCCGGACAGCTCTGCCCAGGCCGGCGGGGGGCCGTGCCGGCCTTCAGGCCCCTCCTTCCCCTGAGGGCGCTGCTGCTTTTCTCCGTGTTTCCTGGGGGGCTCCTTGGGGCCCTGCCGCTTCCTGTCCCGGCCCTGCTCCTCCGCCCTTGGCCTGCCCCCCCTGTCCTCCTTGCCCCCCCTGTCCTCCTTGCCCCCCCTGTCCTCCTTGCCCCCCCAGCTCTCCCTCCGCTCCGGGCCGGACTCCTCCTTCCTGCGCTTCCAGGGCCCAGCCTGCCGGTCCCCGGGCCCGCCCCGCCACTTCTCCTTCCCACCCCGCTCTCTGGGACTCTGGAAGGGGGGCTCCAGGCTGCCAGCTTCTGAGGACGCATTGCCAGGGATCCCCAGGCGCTGGGCCCAGGCCCCCAGGCCCTGCAGCTTCTGGGCCAGCCGGTGGCCCAGCTCCGCGAGGCCGGCGTGAGCCGGGTCCCCGCGGCCTGCCTCCCTCAGGCTCTGCTCCAGGTCCCGCTGCACCGACCCCAGGATCCGCTGCTGCCTCTGCAGCTCCCGCCTCAGCGCCCGGGCCTCGGCCTCCAGCCGTTCCTTCTGCTCCAGGAAGCCAGGGCCCGGCTCCTGCCCAGGAGGGCCCGGCTCCTTGGGGGCCCTGCCCCGGCTGAGGCACGCCCCGTCCGCTCCCCGGAGGCAGGCCGCCTCCAGGCCCTGCAGGCGGGCCCGCAGCTGCTGCAGCTCGGACTCCAGGGCCCTCTGCGAGGCCTCGCCGTGCTGCAGGGCCCCCCGGAGCTGGGCGTTCTCCGCTTCCAGCACGTTGGGCCACTGCATCAGGCTCTGGAGCTCTTCCTTCTGGGCCTGGAGTGGGCAGAAGGAGGGAGCGCGCCATCGAGGGTCTTCTCAGGATGAGCCTAGAGGCTCCAACCCAAATCCTATTCCAGTGCGGTATGGCCTGGGACACTCGGAGGATTCGGTCCTAGTCCTCCTCCCCACTCGCCTCCTGCCCTAGACCTTGGAGTGCCCAAATCCCCACACAGGCCTGAGCGTCCACATCCTTCTAGCAGCACACACTGCTCCCAGACACAGGAGAGCCAGTATGTGGCCTTTGCTGCCCGGGGCCTGTTCTTTTCCTCCTCCGCACCATCGCCAGGCAGAGCATAGCATTCATCGGAGGCGGAGAGTCACCGGAAACGGGGAGGCCAGCCCTGGCCTGACCGTGAGCATGAGGGACCTGAGAGAACCAGGCAGGTGGCCTGCTGGTCCGTTTCATTGTGGGGAGGACACTAGGACAGACACCGGGCCTAGGAGGGGGGCTGGCCTCGCCCCTTCCTGCCTGTGCCCACCTGCAGCTGGGCCTGCAGCAGCCGGATGTCCTGGTTCTCCTTGGCCAGCTTATCCAGCAGGAGGGCCATGTTCTGCAGGCTGGGGGCACCGTCAGGGGGCGCTGGCGCTGAGGCCTGCGGCTGCTGCCTTCGCCCATCCTGAGGGCAGAGGAGCCGGTGAGCCGCCCTGCCCCACAGCCCGGAACGCCCCCACAGGCCCACACGCCACAGACTGTCACGTACCTGCCCATCCCCCGCAGCATCCGCCATCTCCTGGTCCACCGCGGCATCTGGAAAGACCTGCATTTCCACCTCCTCCAGGGCCCCTGAGGCACAGCAAGTCCTGAGGCTGGCCCCAGAGCACAGAGAGCACCCTCCCACACACCGCCACCTCCTGCCCTGGACCCTCCCATGCCTGCGGGCCAGGCAGGTCAAGGGCCATGGCTTACTCCGAGCAGCTGACAAGGCATAAAGAGGCATAATGTCCAGCCCCGAGCATCCCTACTTCTGACCCAAAGAGCCGCCCCACGGGCCTCCCTCGGGGCTGGGAGGGGACAGACGGAGCCACCCGGGCCCTCCCCACGGGCCCCACTCACCGTTCTCAGACTCTGAGAGGCCACCTGGGCAGGGAGACGGAGCAGAGGTGAGGCCTCGGAGGAGGGGGGCGGAGGGGCAGGGGGACAGCAGGGGCCAGGGCAGAGGCCCCAGGGCCCGGGGGGGGGGGGGGGCGGGGAGGCGCACCCTCACCTGAGAAGAGGAGGATGCCCAGGCCCAGCAGGACCAGGGCCCCGAGGAGGCACATGTTGAGGGAGATGCCCGGCTCCCCGCTTACACCCTGGCCGCCGGCCGGGGCCTCCGCACGCAGGGGCCCCTCAGGGGGAGGGGCGCCGGGCTCCCAGCCGCGCCGGCGCCACCGCAGGCCCTCCGCGCCGGGGTCCGTGTCCTCCTCGCTGCTGGTGCACGCTGGAGGGAGGGACGGGACACGGAGAGGGGCGTGAAGGAGGGCACGGGAGGCCGTGAGCCCTGGCACACAGAAGGGCACGGGGAGACCCTGCCCCTGTCTGCCTGGCATGGAGGGCAGCCCCGCCCGGTCAGGAGGTGGGAGACCAGGCCTTCGGTCTGCCAACTGCACGAGCAGCTTCATCCTAAAAGCACTGTCCTCCCCACGGGTCTCAGCTCAGCCCACAGCCATTCCCACCCGCCCAGGCCAGTCCGAACGGCCCACGTCGGCTCGGTCCCTCCGGCTCTCCTGACACCCTCTCGGCTCTCGGCGCTGTGCACACAGTCTCCCGGGGTCTCCCCCACACGCTGACGGCCCCCCAGAGATAAATCTGTAGCGCCCGCCGGGCCTCCCTGGAGCTCTGGGTATGTCTGCCTGCCCACCTTCACCTCCCACCCAGACAGTTAGACACGTCTACACTCTCACATCACATGCCTGTATCTGCCTTGGTCCAGGAACCTCCTAAATGGCCGAGGCCCTGGCCTCTACCTCCACCCTGTCACCTTCACAGAGATGGACTCACACCCCGGTGCAGCCCCCTCAGTACAGGATGGGTGGCCCCAGCCCTCTGCTGAGGCTGCCGCCTTGGCCTGGAATGTTCTCCTCCTCCTACCCCACCTGCCGAAAGCCAAATTTATGTCCCAGGCTCCACTCAGGTCCTATGTCATCCTTTCCCCAGGGACACCTGCTTCTCTTTCCCCTCAGCCTGTCCCGACTGAACCATCTTCCTCCTCCTGTGACAGCAACTGAATAACAGCTCCTTCTGCGCCCCTCACCGGTCTGCCCTTCACCTGGGCTCGGTCTCGCTGCCTCTTACCCAGGCCATGAGCCACTCACAAGCAAAGAGCCAGCTCCTGGAAGGGACGCAGGGCATGAGTAGAAAGAATCCAGAGGCAAGAAAAGAGGAGGCCCAATGGCAGAGCGGAAGGAGTCAACCTGACCTCAGCCCGGCCACTTATCAGCTGTGTGACCTTGGCCAAGTCACTTAGCCTCTCTGAGCCTCGGGCTGGTGCTGAGGACTCACTGACAGGATTTAAGGAGGCGCCAACCTAGTCCTCGGCCTGGGCCAGAGCGAGGCTCCGGAGTGATGGCTACCCCCACAGCCAGGCCTCCGTGCCAAAGGGGCCCGCACCTGCACTGGGAGGTGAGGGCAGGCTCTGCGGGAAGCTCTGGTCCTCCGGGTCCTGGGTGTCGGGTCCCAGGTCTGCCACCTCGGGGGTCTCCTCCACGTCTCCCAGGGCCACTGTGTCTCCGGAGCCAGGGAGCTCCGTGTCCTCGCCATCGCCTTCCGGGACGTCCTGATGGAGACACAGCCGTGAGCATTCCCGGCCCTTCCCACTTCCTTCTCCCCCACCCCCCATCCCCGTGGCGTCCTCACCTGGGCCTCTGCCTCCTCTGGCGGCCGGGCCCGGGCCCCGGGCTGGGAGCTGTCCGGCTCGGGGAGGGTCTCTGCAGTGGAAGGAAAGGCTCGGAGCCTCTCAGCCACACCTCCTCGGCCGCCCGGGGCCCCTGCAGGCCCCAGCCGGGCGGGGAGAGGCGGGGAGAGCCAGGATGGAGGGGGGAAGCATATCTTCAACTGAGGCTAACGTGGGAACTAAGACTAACCAGTCCCCTTTCCCCGGTGAAACGGGAGCCCTAGAAGACGGAGGAGAGAGGGCTGCACGCCCCCCTCAGCCAGGCCCCGGTACCTTCTCCATCCGCGGTCCCAGCTAGCTCCTCACCATCTGCCTTGGGGGGGCTCCGAGGGGCCGGGGGAGCTCTCTGCGGGTCTGGGTCCATCGTGGACCCTGGGCCCAGGGTCTCCACAGGCAGGCTCTGGGGAAGGAGCGAAAGCAGGAGGTGCTGCAGAGGAGGGGCCACAGGACACGGCCCGGAGCACAGGGCCTTCGCCCGGGGCCCTGGGACCAGCTGCACTGCGCAGGCACCCACCCACAGGCACAGGATGGAAGACACTGCGTGACGAGCTGGTCTGAGGGGCGGGGAGGGCAGAGAAGGGAGGACAGGGGAGGGGAGAGCAGCGGAGGGGAGGGCAGGGGAGGGGAAGGGAAGGGAGAGCAGAAGAGGGGAAGGGAGGGCACAAGAGGGGAAGGGAGGGGAGGGGAAGGGAGAGCAGGGGAGGGGAAGGGAAAGCAGGGGAGAGGAAGGGAGGGGCCGGCTGGCGCTGCAGCATCACAGCTCAGAGTGGTGTGTGGCCCTTCCTTCACCGCACTTGTGCCCTGAGGAATGGTCACAGGCTCAGTGTCTGTTCCACAAAGAAGCACCGCTGGACCCAAGCCCTGGGCACGGTGCAAACTGCCCCACCGGAAGCCGGCTACCAGAGCCGGGGCCACCAGCGCCTCCCTCCCCACCAAGAGGGCCAGCTCCTGGCTGGCAGGTGGGAGGAGGAAGAAGCAAGAGAACTAAGGCCCCCGGGTCACCGCCATGGCCCCACGGCTTCCCTGCAGCTGCCACCCAACAGGCCGCCCTTCACTTACACCTTCTTAGCTTCGCTGGCCTTGGTCCCTCGCCCACACACCCCTCTCCCAGCAGCTGCTCGCAGAAGCCCATCCACCCCCCCACCCCAGCCTGCCTGTCCCCCGCAGAGCTGCCAGCCTCTCTGCACGCTCCTCCTCAGCAGGCCCATCGCCCACGTCCCCCATCCTGGTCCCGCACCCCTCCCGCCACCACGCCTGGTCTTAGTATGTGTCTTTGCAGTTTTCCAATCACTTCCTTCTCGTGGCCACCTCTGCAAGGCAAGAGTCACAACCCCCTTTTATGGTCAAACGCCCAGCGGGCAGCAAAGGCACCCAGGGGTCTGGCCGAGTGACAGCAGAGTGTCTGCCTCTCCACTGGCGAGCTTGGCCCTGTGTCCTGCTCCAGCGCCACCGAGCGCGGCTGCCTCACCCCCCTCCCCGCCCCCCGCTGACTCCCCCAGGGACTCCTCGCCCTCTCTCCTCCTGGCGCTTCTAACTCACCAAGCCCCTGGGGTTGGGATCCCTTTACACACTTCCTCCGGCCTGCGGGACCCTTCGTCCGTCTCAGTGGCTTGAGGAGCACAGGAGCCCCCTGGGTCCCTGCCCCACCAACTTCCTGGATACAGATCTTACACACACTCCGCGCTATTGCTGCCAGCCACACGGTGGCTTCACCCTCTGCCCGGGCAGTGCGTGTCCTGATCCCGTCGGACTCGGAGCCCTTCGGTGATTTCCCCTAAGAACCAGGCCTGAATGCCCGAGCCAGGCCCTTCACAGGTTCCCTTCCAGAGGGTCCCAGCTCTCTGCCCCTAACCTCCCTCCAACACCGGCCCACGTCGCAACCTTATCCACGGGGCCTCCTCCGTCTCCCCAGGATGGCTCACGCAGGTCTCCCCACCAGCACTCTTCCTGACTTCTCACAGCTCATCCCACGCCACCCTCTTCTCGGCCACGGCCCAGTCCCAGCACCTGGCCCCTGGGCCCGGCTTCCTCCCCCCGCCACCAGTTCCTCCCCCGGCCGCAGGAGGTGATGCAGGTGACCGTCAGGACAAGGAAGGAAGAGACCCAGAAAGCAGCCTGATCCTGCAGGACCCCCGCCCCCGGTGTGGTTCCCAGGCTGCTCTTCCTACCTCTGAGCCGGCCAGCACCCAGCTATTGTCCGAATCCGGGCAGGAGGCCATGGTGGCTGGGGTCCCTGAGGCCGGCACCTGCAGAGAAGAGCTTCAGCAACCCTGCTCCCTTCAGGGGAGGCGGGATGGAGGGAGCAGCAGGCTGGGCTCAAGGCTTAACGCTTCCAGAACCAGCCTGGCTCCAGCTCTTCTGGGCATTTGCCTTGCAAATCAGAACCTGAGGACGGACAGCCGCGGAGAAGCCCGCCTCTCCCAGGCACCAACAGGGTCTTGGGAAACTGAACTGACCTTGAGAGGTCAGTGAGGCAGAGGCCTGGAAAGACTTTGGGGAATAACCCAGCCAACTCGCTCCTGCTGCCGTCACGGCAGATGAAGGCCAAAAAGTGACCCATCTGACTTGGAGAGTGAGGAAAACAGGCCGCCCTCCCTTCACCCCGACAGACTCTCCCACAGCCATTACCTTTTCTCCCAGGGTAGAAAGAGAAAGCTCCAGAGCCTCCTGCAGCCCTAAGTCTCCCACTCACCCACCCACCCACCCACCCATCTCAGGCCAGTGTGTCGAGAACCCCTGGCCGGGGAGTTTGATTGGTTAGAGCATCATCCTGATACACCAAGGTTGTGGGTCCCATCCCCAGTCAGGGCACATACACGAAGCAAGCAATGAATATATAAGTACATGGAACAACAAACCAAGTTCCTCTGTCTCTCTCTTAAATAAATTTTAAAAACACTGGCTGCACACTGGAATCACCTAAGATTTTGATCTGATTCAATAGATAATATTATCTACTGATCAGGTTCAGGCATTTTATATATATACATTTTTTTCTTTATTGATGGCAGAGAGAGAAACAATGAGAAGCACCAATCGGCGGCCTCCTGCACACCCACTGCGGGATCAGGCTGGCACCCCGGCATGTACCCTGACAGGGAATCGAACTAGCGACCTCTCGGTGCATGGAGTGATGCTCAACCACCTGAGCCACATGGGCCTTTTTTGAAATCTCCCGGATGATTCTCACCTGCAGGCAGGGTTGAGACCAACTGGCTTAGCTTAGATCCACCTGAATGCACCTTTAGTAAGTATTCGGTCATCCTCACTCTCCGTTCTAAATCCTGTTCCCTTATTAGTAACCCCAGCTTCATCTTAGGGAACCGGAAGGGGCCTGGGGAAAAGGCTTCCCGGCCAATCTCAGGGATAAAGGCTTTACAGTTTGCCGAAGCCAGGGCTGTGGGCCTCCCCCTGGATCTCTCTGACTTAGCAGGGCGGGCGCAGGAAGTCCCCCAGCTTCCAGAGCCTAAAGCAGAGCAGGGCGAAAAGCCCCGCAGGCTGGGCAGCTGCCACTGGAACTTGGCATAAAGGCGAGGGAAGAGAACGGCTGACCGCTCCCCAGTCTTGACCTGTGACCCTTCAGAGGAGGATAAACAGCGCCTTCCTGCGGGCTAGAGGGGTGGCAAGTGGGAAAGGACTCTGTAAGGGTCGCTGGGGGAAAGGGAGGCTGGGGGAGATGGATGGCAGTCCTGCCCTGGGAAACCACCCCTGCCATCTGAGCAGGTGTAAGGGGCACAGCGCCCTACAACCTCTCGTGGCCCTTCCAGAGCCAAGCCCAGGACAGATGTCTTCCCCAGGGCCGATGCCTCCCAGACACACAAACCGTCCCACCAGGAGCCGGGAGAACGGCTGCGGCGATTCCAAGTCACTCCCGACCAGCTTCCACAGGCATCCAGAGCTCCCGCCCCACCGAGCAGCCTTCTGCTCTCAGGCCCCTCCTCTGCTGTGTCATCGCTCCCCAGCCCCCGTTGCTGTGTGTGACTACTAACAGGTGGTGGCAGGAAGGAAGTGGCAGCAGCTTGGGCTGAAGTCCCTGTTTATCCCTGGCTGGTGTACAGCCTGCTCGGGTCCTCCAGAACCAAGCACCATGGCAACCAGGGTGATGTCAGACCCACTGTCTCATGGAAACCAGCAACTGGTATTTGGGTCAACAAGACCAACACTTCTGAGACTCCCACAGGAGACCTTTCTGGGACCCCTGCACTCGGGTTCTGAGCCCCGGTATCTCTCTCGGTTGGGTTCACCCAAGATTCCAAAAGATTCCCCCGTCCTCCCAGGCCAGCAGCATCTCACTGCCTTATTAGGAGGTTCCTTCTGCGGTCTAACTCCACCCTCCCCCTCGGTGTTTTCAGATCTCCTCTCACCAACACCCCCGCCCCCTCCCCCTCCCCCTCCCTTTTCATTCAGGCGGGAGTCAACAACATCGTCCTTTAGGGATGGACAGAGACCTCTGCTGTTCTTAAAAGACAGCTAAAGGGGGAGCTCTCCCACTCCGTACAAAGCTGGGAAGTCTGGTCTAGCTCATTCCAACCCCTCTAAGAGTTGTTCCCCCAAACCTCTAGCCAAGGACCTGGGGCCACAAGTATTTGCTGGGGGAGCCAGAGCAAGTTCCTGTTTTGGTCTCCGTGGTCTTCCTTCTCACAGTGACAAGCAGCTCTGTGAGGCCCGGGGGAGCCCACCCCTTGGGGTTCCGCCCTTCCTCTCCGCTACCCTCCGCCCCACAGCCGGTCTGGGGCCCCCTCCCCGCCGGGCATTACCTGGTCCGGCTTCCACTCCAGCCTTCAGCTGAACTTGTTGCGGCCTCGCCAGGTTCCCAGACCCGGAGGGGAGTCACGTGACCAGGCGCTGGCCAATGGGGAGCCAGTTTCCCTGAGGGGGCGGAAACTTTCGGCCAATAAGAGCCGGAGGTGAGAGCCTGGAGGCGGGGGACAACAAGGGGCCTGTGTGGCCCACAAAGCTGGGCTGACCTCCCGGTGGGAGGCTGGAATCCCAACGAACTGAATTTGGGGCAACTTCCCCTCCTTTCCCGGCGCCTAGTGATTAGGAGGAAGACCCCAAACCGAAAGGCAGACGGTGCCTCTCCGGAGGCGACAGGGGCAGAGACCAGCGTGGCCCGGACGGACACGGGCAGCTGCAGGACGGGGAGGGGAGGGGCAGATCGCGGGTTGGAAATAGCCCTCCCGCCACCCTCTCTCCCCTGGGCCCCACTGCCGCTCTGACAGGGGAGGGCTGTGAAAAGCGCCCAAAAGTGCCTGCTGGGCCAGGTGCAGCCCCTCTCCCCACCTGGGTGCCGCACTGACTCCTCACCCCAGCACTGGGGGTTGGACGGCGGCCGCCAAACCCAGACGCGCTAAAGGCGCTGGTTCCCCTGAGGCCTAGGAGCCGGAGCTGTCGCTTGGCTCGAGGCCCGGCCCAGGAATGTGCTCAGAAAAGAAACTTTCTCTTAGCGGGACGCAGGGGCAGGGTGGGGCACACAGGACTCTCTCCGCTCAGGCAGAACCGGCAGCTGAACCAGGGTTGTTCCCCAAGCCCAGATCTTTCTGCCATTCCCACCACCTGGGCCCCTCAAGGCTTACATCCCCCCCCCCCCCGCGCCGCCCCCAAAGCACCCTTCCCAGTGATGACGATAGCTCTTTCCAACCTTTGTGCACATAAACAGCAAGGAGTCCTTGTCAGGATTTTCACGTCATTTTATTAATCCAACCGTACAAAAGACCCCTCCCCCCATCACATTGCCGCGGACCCTCCTTCCTTCCAAAACAATGGAATGAGGGACTAAGCAGATATTCCCCCAGGAGCCACTTTACAAAATGCCAAGATGGGGGAGGCAGCACAAAAATAGCAACAGATAAAAGGGGGGCAAACAGAACCACACACACACAAAGCTGAGGGGCGGGGACTGCCCGCTGCTGCTTCAGGGTCAGGGGGCCCTGAGAGGCGGGCTGGCAAGTGAGTTCTGCCGTAAACCTGTCTCCTCTGCACATGCTGGGGGTCCAGGGCTCAACGAGCTCCTCAGGCCCGCCTTCCCCACCCACTGGGTCACGTGTGCATGCGCTGCCAGAGCGAGCAGCTGTGAGGGGCTCCTGACCAGGCCCCAGGCCCAGCTCTGGCAGGCAGTGCTTTAAAATAAAAAATAAAGATAAAGCCCAGTGCAAAGCTGGGGCTGAGAGGAATGACAAAGCTAGAACACCAGGCCCCGGTGATACACGGATGGCAGGGGAAAGAGAAGGAACACCCAGGCTCTGAACTGCATTTAAGTCCCTCGGCAATGAGGGCCCTGCTGCCTCCCCCGCCACAGGCGGCGCCAGGGATCCCTTTATCAGAAGAAATGAGGTATAAGGGCTCGGTGGCCTTTCAGGCTTTCCTTCAGCCGAGCCAGGGAGGCGGGGGAATAGGGCACCACAAGGTGAAGACCAACGCTAACAAGGTGCAACGGATGGGCAGGTGGAGGAAGGTGGCACCACGCCGAGTCCGGGCTTCCAGGACCGTCCAAACCTCAGATTCTGGTCAGACCACATCTCCCAATTTTTGGCAAAAAATATGGTCATTAGGAGAAGAAAAAGCACGAGAAGCTGGGAAAGGACCAGTAACTTTGGTACCAGGGAGAACTGTTCCGACAGCATCTCTCGTCTACGGTCCCGAAGCCCCAAATCACCAAGAAACTGCCATGGCCAAGAACTCTCCTGTTTCTTCAAGCTATTTGGTTCTTTGAAGGAGAAAGAGTTGGCAGGTTGTAGAGGAGGCAGGGGAGAGCGGGAAAAGAGGAAAACCCCTCTTTATTCCCTCCACTCTCTCCCAGAGCCCGCGGAAGGACTACTGCAGGGATGGGAAGAGACCCAAACTCCTCTGGCGAGAAACCTTTGACACCTGACTCCAAAAGCTAAGGCTGCAGCTGCGGGGCTGGAGGGGAGCGTTAGGCACAGGTGTTGGGCGCTCCCGCCATCTGCAGAAGGGATCCCCCTGCCTTCCGGATCTTCTTCCAGCCTCTTCTCTCGCAGCCAGACCCCCAGGCCTCCAGAAACACCCGCCAGACAATGGCTCCTGCGGCAGGGCTTTGGTTTCCTGGATCTCTGTAGATCTCGGCGGGAGAGGTTCCAGAACAGTGAGCGATCCAGGCTCCTGCCTGTCCACGTCCACCTCAGGTCCTCTTCCGCCCTCAGGAGACACTGCGTTTCTCCTCCGAGGGATGGAAAGCCAGTGGGAACACGGACCCAGAGCCCCGCACGGGAACCGCCCCCTGGAGGAGCAGGGAGGAACAGACGCGCTTCCCCGGGTCTCCGCGCCAGCATCACCCGTCGTTGGCAGCCACCAGCTGTCCCATGCCCTCGCGGATGTAAACAGACTGGATCTCCTTGGTCTTGAGGCAGAGATCACAGGCCCAGACGGCAGAGGCCTCGGTGGTCAGCAGCCCGTAGGCGCTCTCAGTCATGCCCGTGCACTCGCGGTGGAACCACTTCTGGCAGGAGGCCTCGCACAGAATGGCATCCTGGTCGTCGTTCACCTCACTCCGGCACGCCCCGCACGGGTACACCAGGCCTGGGGGAGGCTGGGGCCCCGAGCCCCCACCTGCCTTGCCAGGGGGTGCCAGGCTGTTGGCATCTGGAGTGCCCCCGCCCCGCCCACTGCTGTTTGGGGGGAAGCTGGGCTGACTCCCGTTAACGGCAGCAGCTGGGGAGCCCGAGTGGGGCTCCTGGGGGAAAGCCGTGGGAGCGGGCGGGTTCAGGGGCTTGCCCCCATCCTCCACCCCAGGCCCAGGAAAGCCGGGGTCCGGGCCGGGGAAGGGACTTGTGTTGGGGGGCAGGCTGGGGAGCCCCGGACCAGGTCTCTGAAGAGGAGAGGGGCCGAATGGAGCCCCCGGCTGGGCAAAGCGCTGAGAGAGAGGAGGGCCCAGCTCCCCTCTGGAAGGCTGTCCCATGGTGGGTGAGATCATGGGGCCGAACCCCCCCATTGGGCCTGGCATCATCTGCCCGCCAGGAGGGCTAAAGTTCTGACCCAGCGGCTGGCTGAAGGGTTGGCTGGAAAAGTTCATGTTGCCTGGGGGCGGGTAGCCAGGGCCCTGGGGGGGCATGTTGAAAGCAGGGCCCATAGGGTTGGGAGGGAAAGGGGGGTGCTGTCGACGAAGAGGCTGGGGACCCCCTCCACCTCCGGCACCATAGCCCGGGGGCACCTGGCCTGCCATGCCCCCTTGCACCCGGAAGCCTCCAAAGGGGACGGGGCTGCCGAGGAACGGAGGGGCCGCGCCCCCCACCTTAGGGGCTCCGAAGTCATCCTCAAAAGGGTTGGACGCAACCAGGTGATCCACCATAGGAGTCGGGGGTGGCGCAAACTCCGTCAGATGCGAGTACGCAGGGCCCTGGTGGAGCAGACGAGGGAAAGAGGGTCACGGAGGGGAGTGCAGAGCTAGCCCAGGACACCAGAAACACGCTGCACGTTTTGGAGGCTGGTTCCAGCTCAGACCGTCAAAATCAAGATGGACCTTAGGATACAACAGAGCAGAAGGCGCAGCGGTATTCACTGCACTTTGAAAACAGGTAGAAATAGGCTGGAATCCCAGCTCTGACACTGAATTACCTCAAGGCCCTGGAGCAACGATTTAACTTTTTAAGCCTCATGTTCCTCATGTGTAAAACACACAACGGCCCACCTCCCAGAACTGCTGGAGCACCACCCAGTCCTGGTAGGCGTTATCATGAGGGAACCAGGACAGGAAAAATGGGAGAAGATTCTCATCCTGGTTGACAGGGTCTTTGGGCAAATCATCCCATCCTCCCCGGCCAATGTATTATGAAGCTGAAGGGAAGGACCAGAAACAGAGCCAGTGAGAGAGAACTTTCCCTTCTCCCTGGACCAGACCAAGCCAGACACTGGAGCCACAGAGCGCAGGGAGGGGCTGCTGGGCATTCTCCCGCCCACCTGCCGCCGCTCACCTGAGTGTTGGACTTCCTTCGCTTCTTTTCCGGGCTCTTCATTTGCAAACCTGGGAGAGCAGCAAAAGGCAAACACAGACAGGTTTCCCCGAGGTCCCCCAGCCTCCTTTCCCCCAGCCGTGCTCGCAGGAACGCTCCCAACTTCAACCTACGCTAGCTTGTTTACTTATCCAGTAAACACTAACAAAGGCGTAATGTGAAAAGCAAACTGCATCACCCTCCCCGCTGCTTCTTCCTTTCCGTGAGAGACAGCCCATCTCTGGTAGCCTCCGCTTTCCAAGCGGCTCCTGAATTCCCAACCTTCGGATCCTCAACCTCTGACACCTGCCCCCACCCCTGGAGGGCTTCACCCCCGACCCCCATCTCCTTCAGGGCTCTCGGCCTACGGACCCCCGCCTGCCCACCGCCCAGCCTTTCTCCGAGCGCCCCACGCCCTCGGCTCCTGCAGCCCCGGCCCGCGGCCGCGCGCTCACCGGCCTTGCCCTGCTTCCTCCCGGTGCTGGGCGGCGCGGGCGGCGGCGCGGGACCACCGCCTCCCTCCAGCTTGTCCGGTGGGGGCGGCGCCGAGGCGGCCATGGAGTGGGGGGCCCGGGTCAGCGGCGGCGGGAGGCGGACGCGCCCTCGGGTCGCACCATCGCCCGGAAGAGGTGTCGGGGGGCAGCCAGGCCCCCGCGCTGTGGCCGCCCAGAGGGCAGCGAGGGGCAGGCGCCGAGCAGGAGCGCCCGCTGCGCGTTCCTCCCGGCCTCACAGCCCGCCGCCCGCGGCCGCAGCCACCGGAACCGGAAGTCGGCCCGGCCTCCTCCTATGAGCGGGCTGGGGAGGCGGGGCCTGAGGAGGCGGGGCCTGGGGTAGGCCCGCCCAGCGCCCCGCGGGGGTGGGCGGAGTGGGGAGCGCTTCACCACCCCCCGGCTCGGGCGGGCGGGGGTCGTGGACCGCGAAGCAGCCGCACTGGCCGGCTCCCGGGGCAGGCGGGAGGGCCGCCGCCTAAGGGCGCCTCCCAGGGCCCGCGGTTCCCATGCCAACTCGAACGTCACCCCGGTCAGTGGTCCCAAAGGTGCCGCCCAGCGCACCCCCCGGCGCACCCCAGCGCTCGCGGGCGATCGCCAGCTCGAGCGAGGCCAGACGGGTGTCGCCGCCGCCCCAACTCCCCGACACGGAGGGCCCCCGGCGAACTGCAGGTAGCGACAGTGACTGAGACCGAGGTAGAAGAAATACGGACTTTAATGAAGATTCTTTCCCTTTGGTATCAGTGAGGCCCGTGAAAACATCTAACCGCAAAAAGGAGGCGAGGGTTAGGGACGGGGCTGGGAGGCTTCTAAGGCGTCGTGGGCTTCCCGGACTCCCCGAGAGTCGCCCGAGGTCTTCAATATCTGCAGGTTTTAGGTCCACCCCCACCCCGTGAACCAGGCTCATTCCGCTGCACTTCCCCGCAGCCTCCCGGTAAGAGGCCCAAGTGTTTCTTATTCCAGCTCACAACTGACTTCCGACCTGGGTCCCCTTGAAAAGACAATGCTGCCCACCCCAAGTGTGCCGCAGGCTGGGGTGAGGAAAATGCCAACAGTGATGTATAAATGTAATCGATTACCATCCTTTTGTGCTCAAGAATAAGCCATAGAAAACAAAGTAGGAAAGGAAATCTACAGCCTAAAATATGTGCATAAAAAATAAATGCAGATCCAAATCTACAGATGGTATTTGGGGATTGTCTACTGCTTCTGAGTCTCAATGCCCATTCCTGCCTCCACAAGATCTACCTCGGAGAGCTGTCAGTTCAGGGGAGCCCAAATTCGGTCATCACCCCACCACCCTCTCAGGGAGGCAGTGTGGAGGGCGCGGAAGGCTACACTTTGGCTGTAGAATATAACATGCATGCAACATGGAAGGGGTGGGGGGAACAATATGTATATACAAACCCCTGGGACAAAGGCCCCGGCCAGGAGGCACTGAGCAAAGGGGTCCATCTCCCCCCTGGCCGGGAGGGGAGCTGTGAGGCAATCGGTGAAGGTGGCATATGCCCGGGAGAGGTACAGCTGCCACTCCTGCTTCTGTCCTCCCAGCCTAAACTGGAGGGATGCTGAGCAAGGAGAGGGCAGGGTCCCAGAAGCCAGGGGATCAGCACCCCGATCCTTGGCCTCAGGGGCCCAAGAACTCTTTGCATAAAGTATCTTCAGAACTAGGAGATAGTCAAAGGCACAAAGTTTACACACTGGGCAGGGAGCGCTGCTGAGGGGCTGGAGCGCCCTGAGCCCAGGGGGAGACGGGAGATGTGATTTGTTCCTCCTTTCCCGGAAGGGTGGCTGCCTGTGGTCACAGGGCGTTCTCCCTTACAAGGCACGCTGCCCAGGCCTTGAGCACCCACCTTCCTGAGGAAGGGGACATCAGGTTGGCACAGGAAAGGCCCTGGGGAGGGGCCGCTCTAGGTTAATACTTTGGTGAGGTTTGGGGAGAAGGAGGATTCTGCCCCAGGCTCCTGACTCAAACTCTCTCCCTGAGCTGGATGCTAGCCCCAGTGTCCACGCTACGCCCAGCTGCTACACAAGGCCAAGCTCACAGGAGCTCCAGAGGGAGGTCCTGAAGTCAGGGAATAGCGGACAGGTGGGAGGGAGCTTTCTAGAAAGCACCTGGGACGGATCACAATTTCCGCTCCACCGGCTGCTGCAGACACAGTTCGCTGCCCGCGGAGATGATGGGCAGGTGATTGTCCATGTGGTAGCTGATGAGGTGGCTGACGCTCTCGAAGCGGTGGTCCTTCGTCCGGACCTGGGGGGTGGGAAGGAAGAGGGTCCCATCAGGTGAGGCGTCAAATGAAGGACTCAGCCCCCACGCCTGAGAAGCTGCCGTATTCAAGAAGGTGAGGAGAAAGAGATGGAAGGGGTGGGAGGGCTGTCCCTCCTGATCTTTGAGGCTTTTCTAGAAAAGGAGCTAGAGAAGGTCATGAATGGGAAGGCTGTGAATTGGGGAACGCCGAGAGAACATCAGAAACTGGGAGGGATATTCACTGCTCCCTTGACCGGGAGGAAGGCGGCAAGTCTCGGGGAGAATACACAGGACAAGAAGGATGTGGAACGGAAGCCCTAGAATGCTGCAGAAGAGAGACCAAACGTTTTGAGAGATGGGGGAGCACAGAAAAGAGACAGGACACTGGTCTGAGCCTCAAGTCGAGGGTGAAGGAGCTCCTGGCTCCACTGCTAAGAGGAGACTTGGAGTGTCTAGCCCAGGGGTCTAGCCTGTAACCATCTGACACTGAGCACAACCTCTCCAGGATGGTCACCTCATTTGACTAAAAAGGGGGGCTCCGGTGAGATAAGCACCTTCTAACTCTCCTGGGCATCACTGGCAGATCTGAGGACTGGCCAGCACTGAAGGGAACACAGCTCATGCTCAGGAATGTGAGACGGGAAAGAACCCTAAGCCGCCGGGTGGGGGATGCCAGGCACTGTGAGAGCGGGGAGGACCATACAGAGGCGCCCAGCTGGGGAAAAATAAGAAATAACAAGCGAAGGATCAGGGCCGCACAGGAGGGCCCCGCCGCCATCCCCGCCACTCACCACGCCCTCAGGGTCCACCAGCAGCAGGTGCCTGGGCTGCCCGCCCTGCAGGCCGGTGAGCACGTACTGGCCAGGCGTGGTCGTGCTTTCCCGCACCAGGAAGTCCCCATTGAGCTGCAGCAGGGCCTCGGCCTCCCGCCGGTTCAGCTTCCCGTGGAACCAGGGCTCCCCTCGGAGCTGCTCAGCCATGGCCACTGACTGGGGGGGTGCAGGCACCCGAAGGGCATCTTCAAAAGGCTCTGGGGGTGCAGAGAGAGGACTAGGAGCGGCGGCCGGCACAACGCACGTCCAGGGCCAGAACCTTCGGGGCGGGGAGGCCAGGAAGGAAAGAGCAGGAGAGGAACCAAGTAGAAAGATGGGGATACGGGATACGGAATGGAGAAGCACTCACTCATGTCAAAGAGGTCTCGGGGCGCGCTGCCATTGACAGCAAGACTGGGGGGCCCCGCCCCGGCCCCTGCCTGCCGGGCCTTGTCCAGGTTTTGGATGTTGACGTAGGAGGGATCATCGAAGAGCTCTCTGCCTGCTGGGGAAAGGGAGGAGTTCAGTGACCTCAGCCCTGCCTCCTGGGCCCCTGGCTCTCTCTGCCCCCTCCATACCTGGGCAGGGTGGCAGAGGTGGCATCTGCTTGTGGACTTCTGGGTCTCCCCCAGCAGGCTGCCCCACTGGCTGAAGGAACAAAAATACGGTGAAACCAGAGGCCCTAACGAGCCACTCCTGTCCCAGGCCCAGTCCACCTCTCTCAAAGCAACTTACCAGCGTAGCTCCCAGGTGGCTGGGGTTCTGGGCACTGGGCAGAGTGGGTCGAGCAGGCCCCTGGGGGGCTCCTTCCCGAAGCCTCATGTCCACCACCCCCCCAAGAGGGGGTTCCTTCCCCGGGAAGTCATTGTAGTATTGATGATCAGGTGGCTCTTCCTCCTCCTCATCCCAAGCTGAGCCATCAAAGCCAGCCATCCTGAGAGGAAGAACAGGAGGGGGTGGGGAAGGGGGTGGGAGGGTGGAGGGAGGGGAAAGAAGCAATGGCCGTGTATTAGGACTTCCTTTGGGGTTAGCCCTAGGCCGAGTGTTTTATATGATCATTTCATCCTCACCGCACCTCTGTAAGGCAGGATTTCCTTTCCCAGTTTTTATAAAACATATTCTTTTATTGACTTCAGAGAGGGAGGGGGAAAGAGAAACATCAATGATGAGAGAGATTCATTGATTGGCTGCTTCCTGCACGCCCCACACCAGGGACAGAGCCCACAACCTAGCATGTGACTTGGTTCACAGGTTGACGCTCAACCACTGAGCCACGCCTCATTTGTAGATGAGGAAGATGAGGGTCCGAGGTGAAGAGATTTGCTCGGGGGTCTCCCCATAAAAGGTGGTTCACCTGAGATTTAAATTCAGATTTGACTTTAAAGTTCATGCCCTTGATCATTACACTGTCTCTCCTAAGTGCGAGGAGACACTCCAGAGTATTTTAATCTCTGCCAAATACCTACCGGCCAGAGGAGAGGCGAGGACCTCAGGAAAGAGCCATCCTCCCTGCCTCCAACCATCAGAGGCTTCGAGGGGAAGGAAAACAGAGAACTAAGGATGGAGAAACGGGACAGGCCAGACACGAGGCCGCTGGCGATGCAGAGCCCATCCAGCCAGGACGGCTACAACAGGGAGGCCTGGCCTATAGCTCCCCCCGGGAATGAGGGGAGAGCGGGCCCCACAGCGGGCAGGGCCTCGAAAGGCTTTGCCGATAGCCACAGGAAGCTGAAGAATAGCAGGAAGTGGGAAGCGGGGGCACACAGGTTATTTCCTTCCCTGAACCATTCCGAGCTCAAGTGTGGGAATAGCAGTCCTTCTTTCCCAATCCTGGTCTGGGGCCCAGAAGCTGCCTGCCCCTGCCTGCCCCTCCTCCCTCTCCTTCCCCTCCTCCCCTGCTCACCTGTCGTGGGGGGTGACCAGCTTGGGTGGGTTCCTGAGGTATTGTTTGAATCGTAACTCGAAGGCCTGGCCAATGGTGCTGATGACGTCCTGAGCAAGCCCCTCGGGACACTCCAGGATGTGGCAGGCTGGGGGCATGGCGGAGACTGCCCGTGAGCTCTGAGGCAGGCGGGGTGCTGGGAGGGGGTGCGGCGGACAAGAGCCCCCCTCCTCCTCAGCACAAGCCCTGGCCCCGCTCACCTGCCTCAGGAGGGCCAGCCCCACCCAGCGCTCCCCGCCAAGCCTCACCTCTCTGGTTCACCGGGTCTTTGGCAACGTAGGCGACATACTCGGCTGTGTCCTGGAGCGGGCAGAGTGTCGGGAGAGGACCGTTAGCTCAACCTGACCCCCGCCTCACTCCTGGCCCTAAGTGCCAGTCCTTTTCGGTATCGCCTCCATTTAGCATGCCCCGTTCCCTGGCCGGTACCTTCCCAATCCCTGTCCCTTCCTCTCCTCCCCCCCACTTTGCTCTGCTCCCCAACTCACCGGGTCCCCGCCAGACGCAAATGAGATAGATTGCATGTGATGGTTGGCGATGATCTGAGGGTTAGGGCCGGGGATGGAGAAGGAAGGGAATGAGGTGTCAGCCTCGGGGCTCACCCGAGTGCCCCCCCATCCCTGGCCCAGAACCTCGGAGACTCATTCTCATCCTTTTACCTTCTTACCCTGTGTCCTCCCAACCACCTCCTTCCCTGCTGTCCCACTGCTCCCAAGCCTTCTCTCTTCCTTCCTCACCTCACAGCCAGGTCCCCGCCTGGCCCTCCCATCAGTGTCGGTGGCCCCTCTGCCCAGCCCCACCAACCTCTTTGCAGTCTGCCGCCATGAGGTTGAGGCTGCTGGTGGAGACGGTGAGAGTGATTGGCATTCCAGCGAATTTCAGGTTGCTCCTCCCCAGGATGGAACCGAGCGGGCGGCTACAGGGCTGAGGAAGGACCCAAGGGTCTCAGAAGAGAGGGGTTCCCAATTCCCCAGAAACCCCCCCACTCCTGCCTTTGGGCTTCCTCCCCACAGGTCCCATCCGTGCCCTTGCCCCGCCCCTCCACAACTCCCAGGGCATCCCTAACCCCACCGACCCCGAGTACCTTTCTCCTTCTTGAAGCCCCCTTGGCACCCGGCACAGCCTCGCACACCAGACTGATGGCCTCCCTGGGGAAGAGCGGCACTCAGCCAGCCTTGCCGGGCCGGGGAGGGGGCGGGGAAGGCCAGGCCAGACTCCAGGGGCACTCCAGGCTCTTTGTCGTGGTGGATTGAATTAAGGGCCTTTAATATTTGATGACACTGAGAGGCCGCTTCCTGGCTGATTGGGTTAGGGCCTCCATAGACCGGCCCCACCCCCTTCCAGCTACCAAATGTCCCATTCCCTTCCCAAAGGCAGCACCAATCTTCTATCTGCCCCCACCTTCCACTCAAGCTCCGGCTGCTGGCTGCCTCTGCCACCTCCTCCCACAGCCCCAAGGCTGGATGAGTAAGAAGGATCCAGGCCAGCGCTGCCTCTTTTCATTCAGACTTATCGACTCATTCCCCTGACTTCCTCTCCATCCCCTTCGCCACCCACAGAGAAGCCATCACAAACCCCATCAGCAAGGGCCCCGCTCCCCACCTCCCCTCACCAGCCCCAGGAGTCCCACGGCCCGCCCCCTCCCCGCCAACCTGGTGACCTGAGTCCGGGTGTTGAAGTCCAGGGCACGCATGGACTGCAGGACCTCCACACAGCCCATGTACTGAGGAGAGAACGGGCGGGTTAGCCGCCAGCCCCCCCCACCCCCCTTCCCAAGGGGTTCTAGGATGCTTCTCTCCATGGTCCCTAAGGGAGGTAGAGAAGAGTGAGTGCTGCCACAGCCCACGCCATGCAAGACCACAGGGAGTGAGCAGAGAAGGAACGGGCAAGCTGGGAGGACCTCGTACAGCGGGAAGAGAACTGGGAGTGACAGGCATTGGGTGGGATGAAGTGGCATCTCTAGAAAGGGGGAGGATTAAGAGGGAACAATCAAGAGTCACTCATTCCAACACTTCACTCGGGGCCTCCCCTGGGCTGGGCGTTGTGCTGGGCATGGCAGGTGGGGGTGGGGTGGGGGAGTCACGAGAAGGAAGGGGGACGGAGGCCCAGCTGGAAGGGGCTGCAGAGCCAGAGAAGGAGCGAGGCAGGTGTAGGGGAAAGGATGCCGAGACCAAGGGGGTTGCCGGGGAAGAGCAGGAAGAGAGATGCCAGCGAGGCCAGAGCGGGCGGAGGGCGGAGAGGCCCGGGAGGGAGACGGTCACTCACCCGAACCAGGTAGGAAACCCCGGGTCCCATGACTTTGTCGTTGGGGTGCAGCCAGCCCCGCGTGGGCTTATTGACAAAGCTCCCGTGGCGGGTCCACTCCTCGCCCCCCAGCTGGCCCCCTTCCACCCGAGTCCTGCGCCCGCCGCCTCCACTCAGCTTGTTCATGTCCTGGAGGAGGGGCAGGGGGCCCGAGTCCGGCACGGCCGCCCCCGCGGCCCCCTCCCCGCCCTCCGCCGCCCTGCCGGGCTCCCCCTTCGGCCCCGGGCGCCCGCCGGCCGGGGTGGCCAGCTTCAGGGTGCTCATCCGGGGGAAGAAGGAGCACAGGGTGGTGGGGCTGTCCTCCCCGGACAGAGGCGGCAGGATGGGCCCCAGGGAAGAGGCTGACGGGGAAGGCAGCTCCTCCGGCGGGCTGGACCCGGAGGCCCCCTCCTCCAGCGATGACAGAGACTCATTCCGGAGCGGGTTGTACTTGGGCTTGGGGGGCAGGAGATCCATGGCTGGAGTGAGAGGGAGGCTGCAGCCCAGCCCGGCCCCCCTGCCGGTCCGGGCAAGGGGGCCAGGCAGGGGGCATCCCCAGGCCCTTAGCCGGACGGGCCCTTTATGGCCCAGGGAGCGCCAGGGTCCTGGGAAGGAAGGGGGGCAGTGGCTCGGCTTCCTCGGGCTCCCCCAGGTCAGACACACACAGTCCCAAGCCCCAGCCCCGCCCGGCGGAGCCTCCTCTCTGGCTGAGAGCAGAGCAGGCTGCACCTAGAGCTGCCTGGCTCCTCCCCAAGGGCGGGAGCTGCGGGGAGAGGCCAATCCCGGAGACAGTGCTGACTCACAGGCTCCGAGGGGCTGAGCCCCCCCACGGCCCCAATCCCGAGCTGAGCCGAGGCAGCGCGATCCCTGCCCACCCCCACCCCAGACAAACAACCAGCATCTGGGGAAGAGCAAAGTGGGGGGTGGGAGGGAAGGGTGAGAGGAAAGGAGGGAAGAGGAGGAGGTGTGGCTCAGTCCACACCGGACGAGGGCAGGCAGAGGGAGCAGGAAGCTGAGGGAGGGCAGGGGGGAATGAGGGAGGAAACAGAGGCAGCTGGGGTGGAAAAGGGAGGAGATCCCAGAGCTCAGCATTTCCCTTCCTGTTAGATTGAACACAAACCCCCATCCCACCGGGGTGGGGGCCCCAGGGAGCCGGGCCATTAGCGCCCTCTGCCACCACAGCTGTGGACAGAGCTCAGGAAACGGGAAAGGAGCCCTCACTGTGTGGGCTGGAGCATCGCCCAGGACACCAAAGGGCTGCAGGTTTGATTCCCAGTCAGGGCACGTACCCAGTCAGGGCACACACCCAGGCCAGGCACATCAGGAGACAACCCATCCATGTTTCTCTCCCTCCCTTCTTCTCTAAAATCAATAAACAGTGGATGAAAAAAATAAAATAAAATAAAAAAATAAATAAAATAAACAGTGGATGAAATGGGGAAAGGAGCCCGGCTGGGGGGCTCCGTTGGTTAGAGCATCGTCCCAAAACACCAAGGTTTTGGTTGGGGCACATACGAGAAGCAACCAATGAATGCATAGATAGTGGAACAAAAAAAAATACAACACGATACTTTTCTCTCTCCTCCCCTCCTTTTCTCTAAATCAATATTTTTTTTTAAAGAAAAAAAGAAATGGGGAAAGGAAGAAAGTGGTCCCAGAGGATAAAGAGAAGGCCAAGAGGAAGGGCACAGCAGGGGAGGAGAGGGGAGAGGAGCTGGAGCAGAGGGCAGGCCGGTGGCATCTATCATGCAGGGACCGTAGCCCACAGGCAAGCACTGTTCTGCCCCCTTTCCCACAGGCCAAGTAAGCAAAGCCAGCTGTCAAGGGTAGAAGGGGGGAGGGGGCAGGGCACTGACTCCAAGGTCAGCTCCCCTGCCTTTTGCAGGGATGACTGGTGAGGGCCCATGTGTCCACCAGGGGACATAGTTGCTCTCATACCAAGGGCAAAGTCTGGCTGGAGGATGTGGGAGTGTGAAATCTGTGCTGAGTACGGAAGAGGAGAGAGGCCGAGGCTGGACATAGGGAAACCATCCCAAACCCACTCTCCCCACCCACAGCTTCCTGCCTCAGCTCTGCTGGAGGGGGCCACAGAGGAAGTTGGAAAGTGAACAAAAAGGAAGTAGGACCATACACATACCCCCTAAGCTCACCTGGAATTACCTATCCTTAAATTACTTCAGAAGATAAAAAAGTATGCAAATAACCACGTGGTGTGCTAAGCTCTTTCCCCGCCCTCGGTCCTCATCAGAGGAGAGCTGTCATGCCATCCTCCGCTCCTGAGGATTCTCTCCGTCCACTTCCTGAGGCTCAGCGCTCAGGCACAGAGAGCGTGAGGAAGGGGTTCTGCCAGGGGTCCTCACACAGGCAAACACGCGCCAGGCTGTCTTCATCTCGAGAGTGGGCATTCTGTAGGAGCCTGCAGCACCCACAGGCAGCAAACGACCAACAGGTGTGAGCATTTGGGGGAAAGTAAGGGAACCTGGAGCTCATAGAAAGAAGGGAGACTGTCCACTGGTGATGGGGTGTGGGGAGAGGCTGCATGCGCCTTCTCACACCAGCGGGGAGGAGGAGGAGGAGGCAAGAGCAGGAAGTAGCAGGAAATGTGGAAAGCCTCAGGAATGTTTCCCGAAAGGAAGGCTGGGCGAGCGGGACCAGAAGGAATGCCCAGACAAGAACTCTGGTTAGGGGGGAGGGGAAGAGCCAGAGAAGTGGTGAGAGGCTGAGCAGAACCCTTAAAAAAAAAAAAAATCAAACAGCAAAAAGATCACTGCCCCCTACACCCACCCAAGTCACCGTTTTCTGATGGTAGAAAACTTCACAGTCAACCAAATGCCCCCTACCCAACTCCCCTGGTCCAGGTAGGAGACATAACCGCTGGTTCTGGGCTGGGCGGGTCCTGGGGAGGGAAATTCAGGGAGCGGGGCCAGAAATCTACGAGCAAGTCTCTCTCTCCCACCCTCGTGCCAAACCCCAAGTCCAGCCCCCTTCGGGGAGCCAGCCTCGGAAGGGGGTAAAGGAAAGGAAAAGGGCTGTCTCTGATCTCACTCCTCAGACCCACAGATGGAAACTTGGACTCTCCACCTGGGGAAGCATGCAGGAAAACTGAGCCCAAACCCCAAAGAGGAAAAGATCAGGGAAATACGAGCAGAGGGGAGTTTCTGGGGTGGAAGACAAAGCTGCTGAGGTGAAGACCTGGGTTCCACAAGGATGAATCTCCCACGACCCGTGTTTTGGAGACTTCTAGGTGGCCAGGCTTCGGGACAATCCGACGTGGATTAAGGAAGGGGCGGGACATCTACAAGGGCCGAGCCTCTAGAAAGGCGTGGTTTCGCGGATTGGAACAGTGTAGCGCTCTGGGCAGGGTTTTGCCCTTTCGCGAGATGGGACTTTTTGGTAGGCAGCAGTCAGCTAGCAGAGAATCGTCGCGCTGAGGCAGAGTTTCGGGGAATTGGAAAGGACCAACGTGCCGTTCCGTGTAGTAGGGCTCGAAAGCATGTCTAGGAGGTGGGACTTCCAGGGAAGCGGGGCGACAGGGTGGGGTCAGGGACAATAAGTGGAAAACAAGTCAGGGTTCAGGGATACAAAGCCCCCCGAGGCTGGGAGGTGGGACTTCCGGGGAGGGGGTCCTAGGGGGCGTGGCTTATGAATGAAGACCGGAAGTAGGGTCCCGGGAGAGGGGTTCCGGGGTGGAGGAGTGGGTCACCTAAGTGGGAAAAAATCGTCCCAACTCACCAGGGCCTCATGGAGTCTCCGCACCGCACCGCGGGGTGATTTGGTCCTGGATCACGCCAGTGCCTCCTTAGGTCGCTGCTCCAACTTTCTCCCCGGGAAGGCCTCCCTGGAGAAACTTTATTGCACTCACTTCCGGCCTCGCTAACCCCTGACCCTCTACCCCACCGTCCCTCCTTCACCCGTCCCACTTTCCTGGGTCAGCCAATAGCACTGCGGGAACGCGCACAGAAGCGGTTTTAGCCAATGAGAGGCCTATTTTTTTACCTAAGCTCGCCCTTGAGAAACGTAACGAGCGTGCTCCAATAGGGACTCGACGAGAAGTAAATATAAGCCAATAGGAGGCTTGGAGACAGAGTTGTCCCGCCTTAAATCGTAGGGGCCAATAGGAAGCGCAGGCGGCGTGTTTGAAAGTGAGGCCAAAGTGGGTGGGAACGCGTGCTGCTGGGAGTTGTTTGGAGGTTGGCGGCGCGGGGCTGACGATCTCAGGCGGAGCGATCATGTCGCACAAACAGATTTACTATTCGGACAAATACGACGACGAGGAGTTCGAGTACCGGTTAGTGCCGGCGTGGGGGCCATAACGAGAGGGTGGAGCTTTGACAAGTGAGGGCTCGAGGAGTTAGTAACGAGGACTACGGAAAAGACGGAATGGGCGCGTGCGCAGCAGATTAACGGGACGGGGTGGCGGGTGGTTGAGAGCGTAACGCGCATGCGCGGAGGTAGGCGACGCGTGTAAAAATAACAGTACGGAATTCGGTGCAAGCCCTCTGGGGGGGAGGGGAGGTGGGCGTGGTTTAGAGCGTTCTCCTGCAGCCCACCTTCGCCCCTTGGGGTTCCAGAGCCATTCTAAACTTCTCTGAGCACGTTGGACTTGCCTTCTTAAGGACAGCTGGTATCTCGGCAACGCCATAACATACGGAACCTACTGGGGAAAGGTGGGAAAGGCGGAGCTCCAATTTTCCTCGGGTCTTCAATACAGAGCGAGTGTCCCCCATTAATTCCTGAAAAAGGGGCGTGGTTGTTCGGCTTATATTAAGGAGGTGGGGCTTCGCGGGCCTGGAATGGAATAAAACTGGCCAGGAACATGGAGAAGACTTAACATGGACTCAGTCGATACCCTTCAACTATTTGAAGGGGGTTCGTGTAGGAAACAATAATGGGGTGTTTATAGGTTCTACTAAAGCTCAAGGGTAAAAGCATGGTGTCTGCTTTCAACAAGCCTAAAATAATCCGTGGAGATACTGACAGACTTCAGAGAGAAGCTGTTAATTGGTATGATATAGATACGTACAGATTGTGATGGCAGCACTTACGACTTGTCAAGGATGGTGAAGAAGGGAATTTCTACAGAGTCTGCGCTGGATACATCCCAAACTCACAGTTCTAGAGTAGAAAATCGGAAGGGGTTCTACAAATGTCGGCCTTCCACTAATTGTATTCAGTGTGATGCTTAAAACAACTTCCTGGTTTGTACCTTGTCTTCTCAGTCGAAGACCATGAAATGGAAACTTGCTTGTGTTTCTTCTCCAGTCTGGCACAGGGTCTGGGCCCTCTGGCTGGAGAGCTCCGCCTGTGCTGACAGATACATTAATGGTCTCTCTGCCAGGTCCGGGGAAAAGACCCCAGGCCAATTAACTTCCTTTTCCTCAGCTGCTTTCTTCCACATCTGAACTGAGCTGACTAAAATTATGTGTTTGTAGCACATGGCAGGGCCGGGGAGGGGGAGGCACTGGTTTCACCCTTGAAGATGTAAGCTTGCAGTGGCATTTAGGTTTAAGAAAAGCTTTTGTGTTTTGGTGGGGGGGTTTCGGCTTGGGGTTTTGTGTTTTGTTTTGTTTTTTGCCTAATTAGTTATTGAACCCAGTCTTCGTGCCAGGGGCTTGTTCGACAGTTAGCTATTTTCAGACATTCAGACAAGAACAGATTCTTTAGGGAAAAAATCTGTTACTATGGTACGTTTTCATTTAGCATGATAAAGTGTGCCTGGGTTAGCACAATTCAAATTAGAGTAATAATTTCTTGGCCATGAAGAGACTCATCCTTGGTTAGGAAAGCAGGAAGGTTCCCGAAAGTCTCATGGCACATCCCTTCAGAGTTAGGAAAATGAAGAATAGATTTTAAAGGCCAAGTTGGCCTTTATTTCTAGCTGCCTGTATCCCACAATAAGATGAACTCCCTGCCATCAGAAGCTGGTTTTTTTCTTTTGTCTCTTGCTTTGTATGTAGGCACTTGCCCAGCAGACTGTACCCAGTACTGACAAATTCCCTACCTTCCCATGTTTCTGTTACAGGCATGTCATGTTGCCCAAGGACATAGCCAAGCTCGTCCCTAAAACCCATTTGATGTCTGAATCTGAATGGAGGAATCTTGGTGTTCAGCAGAGTCAGGGATGGGTCCATTATATGATCCATGAACCAGGTCAGTGCCATGGCTGAAAGAACCACGTAGGGCTGTTTCACTGAGGAAATGACAGGTCACATAACCAAAAGAAATAAGGGGGAGGTGGGGGTGGTTCCCCAGTTTCTTACCCCACGCATCATCTAGAAAAATTGGAGTGACCAAAAATAGTGACATATACAGGAAGTTCAGAGACAAGCCGTTCCTGAAAAACCTTTAGTATCTAATTCACTCAGAGGGTATTCTCTCTCTCTCTTTTTTTTTTTTTATTAAATTATTATCTTTGTACATATACCATTGGAGGGTACTCTCTTTTTAAGGCCACATATACTCTGGGAGAGATTATGGTCCCTACCTCATTATCCATCAGAAAGAATTCTTGGATGTGTTCCAAATAAGCCACAGAAAATATTTCCTGATAAGACACCAGACACCGAGCTGTCAAGCAAAACTGATAAAGGACACCCTGGGCTTCACAAACAGCAGAATAACTGATATTAACAATTGTATACTTGGCTGGCAGGCCAGGCTGATGGGTCTGCTTCTATAGCCATATGCTTAAGTCTCAATTTAGTTATCAGGGTCCGAGTGGGTGATAGCTGGGAAATGGGAGTGGGGAACCCTGTAGACGGTGTTAGCTTGTCTCTTAGATTTCACTCGCTCTTTCAGAACCTCACATCTTGCTGTTCCGGAGGCCGCTGCCCAAGAAGCCAAAGTAATGAAGCTGGGAGCCACTTTCCAGCCTCTAGCTCTACTCAGCTGTCCTCACTTGCTAACAGCTTTCTGATAACATTGTTGCCTTCTTGTTTCTCACTTTGCTATTTAAAGGATGTTTAAAATACACTGTTTGAAATGTGCTGGTGACTGCTTTGCGACTTAAGCAGAGCCAGCCGCAGCACGGCCAGCCAGAGGAGTGCTCAGGGCTGCAGCCCCAGCTGAGTGTGACCCCTGAAACCATGATGAGTTCTGCACCCAGCAGGACACACGTGGCAGATGGAGGAAGCATCTAAGAATGAGACCACGGCTGTAACAGGGATTGTGTAAATTTGCTGTTTTGTTTTTTTCCTGCCAGGTGTACGTATGGGGATTTATGTTTCAATGTATTGGAAACTTTCCATTTTATTCAAGAACTCTATTTCGTGTTAAAAACCTTGATTAAAGAGGAATTTTTTTTATAATCTAGTTCTCTGCTTGTCAAGGTTTTCCCCCCCCTCTCAGGCTGAGCATCACATTCAATATATGGTTCTAATTATATGCCCTTCAGTTAAGATAATGAAGCTCAGCTTTGCTGATAATGAGGTTTATTTCAACAGGTAACTGGTTTTTAATCTAATCTTAAAAGTAGACATGCTGTCGAACAAGGACTGAAATATATTTTGATTTAACCACTGGCCAAAGGTAGAGGTTGTATAGGGATAACATCATCTCATCTAGACAAGGGAAGTGTTTCCCACAGACAGGGATGCCACCTTTAATATGGTCCCAGTGTGTGAAGGGCACACGGGGGAGGCGGAGGCCATCAGCCGGAGGCTGGTAGTGGCTCCGTTCCTGCCTAGCCTAGCTCCGGCACCCATATGGCCTCTTCACTGCACACTGGTTGGGGTTTTTCAGTAATTCTCTCTATGGCTGAGCATTGGAATCCCCTGGGTAGCTTTAAAAGGACTGATTTGTAAATCGTTCCTAAAGGTGTTGACTTAATTGGCCTGGAGTGTGGCCTGGATGTGGGGATTTCAAGCATTCCTATGCAGGTAGTTACAGCACTAACTTTGAGAAAACAGGAAACTAGGTGTTCAAGAAAACATTTCACTAAATCATACTTTTAAAAATAACAGTACTAAGTAAGGGAGATCATCTACCACCTTTTCCCTGTCTTCCATCTGTTTGTTCCAAGAGCAGTACCAGTGTAGTCCCTGGACCGGAAGCATCAACATCATCTGGAAACTCATTAGAAATGTGCATTCTTGGGCTCCACCCTAGACTTAATTGAATCATAAACAACGGCAACATTTAAACAAGCTTTCCAGGTGATTGTGGTGCATGCTTAGCTTGAGAAGCCACTGATAAATAATTGGACCAGAGCTGATGTTTGAATGGGTTGTTGTGTTGTTGTTTTTTTTTGGGGGGGGGGGTTACCTCCAAAATATGACCTTTATTAATCATCAAGATAATAAAGCACATGGCTTATGTCGTTAGGCAAGTAGGGCTTGGGGGGGGGGGCACTTTATTTTTTTAGAGTTTTCTTGAGAAAAAAATGGTCTAGAAGCTTGGTTCTACCATCCACTTTATTTTGTGTGGCATCCCTTCACCTTTCTGAGCCTGTTGCCCATCTGTAAAACAGACATCATATCTGTCTTAAAGGGTTTTTAGGAATCATATGAGGCCAGCCAGGTGTGGTTCAGCAGGCTTCCAAATGATGAATGGATTCTAAACATACAAAAAAAGTCCACAGACCAGTAGCATCCTCATGACCGAGAACCCCACCCAAGATCATTCAGATGAATAGCAAGAACATTAGGATTTGATGAACACTGTTAGACCATAGGCAGTTGAATGCGAGTAAGGACACACGGCACTCCCTAGTCGCTGCCATCACTGTACTTGCAAGAGCAATAACAGGTGATGCTTAAACCAAGCACCATCTGGAGCAAGCTCTGTCTTGTCAATGAGGCTTAAATAATTAGCTTCATTGTTTATATCAGAGACAAATGAAAGTTCTACATACTAAAACGTCCGCTCCACATTCCAAGATCTTCCTACCTCACAGGCAATGCTAACCATTGTTCTTGTCCCTCCGGCTGCTATAATATAACATCCCTTCAAACACCAGTAGCAGCTCTGACCCCTTAGCCAATAACAGGGTTATGGCTAATGAAAACAGCTGTGCACACGAGAATCTGAATACAAAACAAAGGTCAAGCCTCCCTTTATTTCTAACAGCAGAAAGCACCTCAAAATCCTTAAAGCCTCTCCAACCACAACTCCTTTCGCACCCTAGCCCTCCCGCCCCGCCCCTCAGTCCCGCCCCTCCTCATCCCCGCCACCACCACCCCCAGGGCTCGGCCTCCACGTTTCCGGGCAAAGGGTGACCACGTGGTTGTCGCTAATAACAACCCAGCACTGCTCCCGCCCTCTGGCTAAGGCTCGCGAGTGACAGTCGACTTCACCAATGAACACGTGACGGTAGTCTGAGCGACAGCCGAAAGGACCAATTAAAACGAGCTAAGTGTGGCTCCGAGGTGGGACTGTGAGTACGGAAGCTGTCCTGGGACAAGAGGAGAGGAGAGAGGGAAAGACCTGAAGGGGCTGGAGCAGGTGAGAACTTGAGAGAATTCAGCTGTCAGAAGAGCAGTGGGAAGAGGTGGGGTTCGGGCTAGAAAGGGTGCGGAAGCCTGGAGAAGAAGACGGCTGAGTTGTGGTTCGGGTGGAGGAAGGGAAGTATTTAAAGAGCCCAAGACCCAGGAGCAGACATTTAAAGGGACAGGCGCCCCAAAGAGAAGAGACATTTAAAGGTGTAGGTGTCTTAAGATAGAACAGTCCCGAGGAACCGAGCTCGGCAGACACAAGATCTCTAGCTGGAGCAGGACATTTTAAGACTAGACTCTAGAGCCAAGCTTAGAAAACATTTAAAAGAGGCATGGGGTGGATTTTGAGAAAATGTTTAAGAAAGAGGCAGGAAAAAAGCAGTCAGTTGTCAAGGGCCTGGTGAGGAAGACCATGCCCTCCTGCTCTCCCCCATTTACCTTTCTGGCTCCTCCAGGTTGCCTCGACCCCGGACCCCCTGTTCCCCGCCTATGGCCCCCCGTGCTCTTTAGATCTGGCGGTACTCCCGTGCTTGCGCCCCCTGTTTGGGGGTCTGGGTGGCTACTGGAGGGCCTTGCAGAGGGGCAGAGGAGGCAGGACCATGGCATCTAGGGCCTCCGCACCTCCCCCAGGGCGCAGCGTGACGGCGGGCATCATCATTGTTGGAGATGAGATCCTCAAGGTGTGTCTGGGACAGCAGAGGGTGGGGAGGGCGGGGCGTCGTCCTGTCCTTAAGAGTCCGCTCCACATTGTGTTGAAGGAGGATGAACCAGGGTGGGGTCCCCTTGATGCCCTAGGATTCTGGAGTGAGTCCAGAGTGGTGGAGGAAAAGTGACCCTCGTTCTTTCAATGAATTATCCCGTTGAAAAGCTTACAGCAAAGTTCCCACAGTTTGCCTAGCAGTATGGAATGGGGATGCGGAGCTTTACAGAAATGACAAGGAGTCTGCATGGAAAGGAGGTAGAGGTGCAGGCATTCTTTAAAAGTTAAATCCAACCTAACCGAAGAATGAGCCAAGACACGCAGCAGAGTGGGTAGGAAAAAAGGAAAGTACGGGAAGAGAGAAATCCCTTCTGAATAATCAGGGAAGTCGTGGTAGGCATCAGGTTTGTAATAGTAATAGTGATCCCTATATTTTTTGAATGCTTACTGGGACCTGGCAGTAAGCTTATTACATCATATATGTGATTTTACTAATCCTCACAACAACCCCATGACATTGGTACTTTTATAGAAGTCATCTTTTAACAAATTTTTATTGATTTCAGAGAGGAAGGAACAGGGAGAGAGAGAAACATCAATGATGAGGGAGAATCACCGACCAGCTGCCTCTTGCAAGCTCCCTACTGGGGAGTGAGCCCACAACCTGGGCATGTGCCCTTGACCAGAATCAAACCCAGGACCCCTGAGTCCACAGGCCAACGCTCTATATCCCACTGAGCCAAACCGGCCAGGGCTGTAAGTCTTAATTAATACATTATGACACTAAGGCTCAGAGAGGTTGAGAAACTCGCCCAAAGTAACACAGCTAGGAAGTGCTAAATGGACTTGATTTTTCACTCCAGAGCAACCACTTAACCACTAACCTCTGTGGCACAACAGTGGAGATGGGGCTGGGCAAGAAGAGTGGATACATACCATAGACAGCCTCAAATATTCCGCAGAAGAATTTGAACTTTATTCTGTATGTGGTTGGAAACAACAAACGGCTTTTGAGTCCAAGAGTGATGCAATCGCAGAAGCACATTAGGAAGGCTATGCAGGAGGCAGAGGCAGAGCACTGTGGCTGGAGCCGGGAGCCTGGCCAGGAGGCTGTTGCAACTATTCAGGTGAAAGGTGCCAAAGGCCTGCTCGGTGGCAGTTGGGACAGAGAGGAGAGAGCAGATGGGGACATAGTTCAGGAGTGGAGTTGACAGCATAAAGGGCCTGACTGGCTGCGGACAGTGTCTGGGGATGCTGTTAACAGCCAGGGTGAGGGGGAAGATGCCCAGTGGGCATTTGATGCCAGGGGACTGAGACCGTCCGGGTGGGTGAGGGAGTAGAGCAGTTGTCACATGGCATTGATCGTGGAATTCATAAACATAGATGAGGTCAAGGTCACAGTGCGGAGGAGGAGGCCCACGATATAGCACATCATCCCTGACTCCGTTCACGTGGATCTTCTCACTCTGGGGCTCAGTCCAAAATTCTTTTCTTTTTAAAAAAAATATATTTCTTTATTGATTTCAGAGAGGAAGAGAGAGGGATAGAGAGAAAGAAACATCAACGATGAGAGAGAATCATTGATCAGCTGCCTCCTGCATGCCCCCATTGGGGATGGAGCCCACAACCCAGGCATGTGCCCTTGGCCAGAATCGAACCTGGGACCCTTCAGTCCGCAGGCCGATGCTCTATCCACTGAGCCAAACCAGCTAGGGCTCAGTCCAGAATTCCAGGCAGCCGGAGGTGGTATCCCCCAGAGAGCGGAGCGCCCCACCATCAGGCAGATGCAGCTTTCATCCCTGCCCCCTCTGCCCTTCGTCCCACGGCACTGACGCTCCTCTTCTCCGTCTCCAACCTCCCAGGGACACACCCAGGACACCAACACCTACTTCCTGTGCCGGACACTGCGCTCCCTGGGGGTCCAGGTGTGCCGCGTCTCTGTGGTCCCCGATGAGGTAGCCACCATCGCAGCTGAGATCACCGCTTTCTCCGGCCGCTTCACCCACGTCCTCACGGCGGGGGGCATCGGTCCCACGCACGACGACGTGACCTTTGAGGCGGCAGCCCAGGCCTTTGGGGAGGAGCTCAGGCCGCACCCGGAGCTGCAGGCCGCCATCAGAGCCTTCGGAAAGCAGGGCTGGGAGAAGCTGTCGCTGGTGCCCGCCTCCGCCCGCCTGCATTACGGCACGGACCCGCACACAGGCCGCCCCTTCAGGTACCCGCTGGTCTCCGTCCGCAACGTCTACCTCTTCCCGGGCATCCCGGAGCTGCTGCGGCGGGTGCTGGAGGGCCTGAAGGGACTGTTCCAAAACACGGCCGTTCAGTTCCACCTGCGGGAGCTGTACGTGGCCGCCGACGAGGCCTCCATCGCCCCCATCCTGGCCGAGGCCCAGGCCCACTTTGGACGCCGGCTTGGCCTGGGTTCCTACCCTGACTGGGGCAGCAACTACTACCAGGTGAAGGTGACCCTGGATTCGCAGGAGGAAGAGCCGCTGGAGCAATGCCTGGCCTACCTGGCCGCACATCTGCCTCCGGGGTCGCTGGTCCCCTACGTGCCCAACGCCGTGGAGCTGGCCAGTGAGGCTGTTTACAAGCTCGCCAAGTCAGGTAGGGGCCCGGGGGGCGGGCAGAGGTACCAAACCACAGGTGCCACCCTAGGTCTCAGGAAAGCAGGGCCTTTGGAGGCTCCCCAAAACCCAGGAGAAAGTAGAAGATGACAACCATTCATTCATTCTTCCAATAAATATTGAGTGTGGACCCTCTTTCACCAGCACTGTGCCGGGTGCTGGGGAGACAGCGCAATAGGACAGACGGACATCCACTCCACAGACAAGCAGTTTAGCAGGAAACTGCAAGCAGATATTATGTATGAGATGTCCGTGTGAGGGGGACTGCACAGCAAGGAGGTCAGCCTCGATCTGGGGTCAGAGAAGGCTTCTCTGGGCAAGTGGTGTGGAAGCTGCATGGTACGGAGCGTTTGGCCAGACCAGGAGCGGGGCCGAGCACACAGTATGAGAAAGGTCCAGAGGGAGCAGCAGGAGGTTTAGGAGAGAGGGAAGAAACCAGGATCCCGGAGGGGAGACGCTGAGCGGCGATGTGGCTGGATGGCAGGCGGGGAGCACTCTGCCGGCCTAGTGGGCAGCATGAAGGAATCTGGACTTTATCCTAGAAACACTGGGAACATAATGGGTTTTAAGCAAGGGCATCATGGCTGCAACTACCCTTTGACGGCCATATGTGTCACATGGGGTGGATAATGGCCTCCTCCCTACCTGTCCGGCAGGCTCTTCTCTAGGGACGAAGGTGGAGAGTGCCCTGAAGACCATTGAGACCGCCCTGGATCAGTACCAGCTCAGCCAGCTCTGCGTGGGCTTCAACGGGGGCAAGGACTGCACGGCCCTCCTGCACCTCGTCCATGCGGCTGTGCAGAGGTGAGCCTGTCCCCTGGGACGAGGCCCCGAGATACCAGGACCCCTGATGTGCCCCGTTCTCCAGTTCCCCGTCCTGGGAAGCAGAAGGGAAAAGCGGTGTCAGGATGGGTGTTGGTCACAGTGACCTCTCTGTCCCATTCCACCCTTTTTATCGAGGATCTGCCACCTGCAGGGCCCTGCATGGGGAAGGGCCTGGGCCTGCTGAGGAGGTGGGGCTTCCCACCTGAGACAGGGGTGTGTGGCCCAGGTCGGAGAGGTGAGAGATCAGGATGGGCTTCCTGGAGGAAGCAGGTTCTGATGGATGGGAAAGACAAGGAAAGGGTGTGCCTCCCAGGAGCCGAGGAGAACAGTGCACGCTCTCAGGAGAGCGTCCCCCTGCCTGTGCCGGCCAGCCTGTGGTTTTCTCCCCCTCTCCCCCAGGAAATGCCCTGACACTCGGGAACCCCTCCAGATCCTCTATATCCGCACCGTCTCCCCTTTCCCTGAGCTGGAGCAGTTTCTGCAGGACACCATCAAGAGGTAGGAGGGGCCTGAGGGTTGGGCTGGAAGAGGGGTTTGGAGAAGCCCGTGTGTGACCCCCCCCCCCCCCGCCCTCTTCCTTCCTCAGGTACCATCTGCGGGTGCTGGAAGCTGAGGGCGAGATGAAGAAGGCCCTGAGCCAGCTGCGGGCACAGCACCCCCAGCTGGAGGCCGCCCTGATGGGCACCCGCCGCACAGACCCCGCCTCCTGCAGCCTCCATCCCTTCAGCCCCACTGACCCAGGCTGGCCCCCGTTCATGCGCATCAACCCGCTGCTGGTAATGTTGTCAGTCCGTGCCCCCTGTCAGGCATTCACCCGGCTTCCAGAGGTAGGGACATGGGAGCCGGGGGCTCGGAGGAAGGGGCCCCGTCATCCAAGGAAGACTGTGCCATTTGTTCATTCAGCCTTCTGACCAATTTTTTTTTAAGTGTGATTATGGTATTCAGTATTTTTTTAAATGTATTTTATTGATTTTTTACAGAGAGAAAGGGAGAGGGATAAAGAGTTAGAAACACTGATGAGAGAGAAATATCGGATCAGCTGCCTCCTGCATACCCCCTACTGGGGATGTGCCCACAACCAAAGTTCGTGCCCTTGATCAGAATCAAACCTGGGACCCTTCAGTCTGCAGGCCGACGACACTCTATCCACTGAGGCAAACCGGTTTCGGCGCATTGTGCTTTTTGCTACGGACAGAACAGTGACTTAGACCTGTGCTGTCCAATATGGTAACCGTTAGCCATCTGCTTATATTCAAAGCATGGAAGCCAGATGACTGAATTGGGCATCTTAAAAGGGTGAATTTTGGTGGCGGGTGACTGATATCTCAGTTTTAAGAACTAAACACAATTCAGAAGTAGTTCTTCATTTGCACTGGCCACAGAGGAAGTGCCCACCACATTAGACAGCGCAGCAAGAGAACATTCATCGCTGCAGAAAGTTCTGCTGGTCAGCTGGCTTCCACAGACACAGCCCTTCCTGTCCTCTGGAGCTGCCCTGCCAGGGGAGGGTGGGCTGGGAGTGGAGAGGGACAGGATGCAGGCTTCTCTCTCTCTCGTTGCGTGGCTCACGCAGAGCAAAACGTGCCAGCCAATCAGATAACGGGCCCTGGGAGGCCAAGGGAGCAGAGGAACCCCGGCTGGGCCCCCTCCCAGGCAGCAGAGGGCAGAGCGGGAGAGGGCAGTGTTAGTGACTCTTGTCCCACTCTGCCCTCCCAGGACTGGACCTACAGAGACATCTGGGACTTCCTGCGGCAGCTGTTTGTCCCATACTGTATCCTGTATGACCGAGGGTAAGGGCGTGGGGAGGGCGTGGTGTGGAGAAACGTGGAGGTGCTGAGATGGGGGAGCGCCTGCCTCACCGCACCGCGCCCTCTCTTCCCCCGGCTCCAGCTACACGTCCCTGGGGAGCCGGGAGAACACGGTGCAGAACCCAGCCCTGAAGTACCTGGGCCCCGGAGGCCAGCCCACCTACCGGCCAGCCTACCTCCTCGAGAATGAAGAGGAAGAACGGAACTCCCGCATGTGACCGCCACGCCTGCCCGCTCCAGGGGAGCCAGGAGGAGGCTGCCCTGCCCGGGGTGTGACCGCTCAATAAACAGCCTCTCCTCTCGGTGCCTGTGTCTTCCTGCTCCCGCGGGGATGGGGGGAGCAGAGTGGGCCGGGCCCCGAGCCTGGAAAGGCCCTCCCGTTGGTCATTCTGACCGAATGCCAACCACCAGGGGGCAGAGGCAGGGAGGTGTGCCAACCACTGGGGGTACCAGCAACCAGGCAGGGCACCCAGGGTTTCTAGGCTCGGGCTGGAGTGAGGGAAGCGGGGCTGGCCTGGCTGTGGAGGATGAAAGATGGAGTGGCCAGCTCCTCCTCCTCCTCCTCCCAGCCCCTCCCCTCCTCCATGGCTGCGCAGAGGGGCTGACTCAGCCCATTCTCAGGCCCAGAACCTTCCCTGTGTCAGACCCTGGGGCCTTTGTCCCTGCAGTCATGAGGCCTGGGGGGTGGGGATGGTGTTGATAAAAGCTGCTGCCCACATGCAGGCCCGGACACGGCCCCTCGCCCAGGCGCCACCTTTCTCCCTCCCAGGGGCCCCGCCAGACGCTGGGCGCCGGGTGCCAGTTGTGCACACGGGCACCAGGGGGGAGGGCCTGCAGCGCACCCTGAGGGCGGTGGCCTACGTCCTCCTGTGCTGCTGGTGCGTCAAGCAGCTGCTGGATTAATGGCAGCGGGAAACGCCTCGTTCAGGTGAGCAAGGCAGGACGGGCAGACAGGAGGCATGGCTGCTGCTGCTGCTGCTGCTGCTGCGGCAGAGACCGTCTCTCAGCTTTCCGTTCTCTTTAGTGCCAAGCTCAACCCCCATCGAGACTCCCAGGGCCAGCTGCTTTTGACCGAGGATGGGCCACCCACAGGGAGTGAAGTGTGGATCCAGCTCTGGGTCAATGCCATCTGTGTCAGACCTGCCTCGTCGCCGGGCCTCCGTTTCCTGCCCCCACCCCCGGTGGGCCCCTGGTGCGAGGGGCCTTGGCCTGCTGGCTAATAAGACTGCAGCAGGACCTGGCACTTCTCCAAGCCTGGCACAGGGAGCCCACCAGCCCAGATGGTTGATCTTACCATATCCTCTTAGCGCCAGGAATGGGCTGCCCCCTAATATCTCGGTTTGGGAACCACTGCGCTGTACGTATAATAAATAGGCCTTGGGCCTAAAGGTTCCGCGTGTCAGAAAAAGCACTGCAAGGGACTCGGAGCCAGGGGGCTGAGCAGGGAGGGAAGGAGGCTGTCCTAGATGGAGCTGAGGCGGAAGCCAGGTTTCCTGACTCACTAGGGTCTGAGTGGTAGGGTGGAAAGGCCCAGCTCCTCCCAGCCTGTGGGGAGGGAGGGGTCCGGCTGGGCCGGGGTCTTAGGATGGGAACTCCAATGGAAGACCCGGTCTGGCCAGCTCCTGCCTCTGTGGGTCTTGGAGAAAGCCCTGGGCTGAGGCTGGTCCCCAGCTCATGGAGAAAGTAAGGACCCTGTTCCTCCAGCTCACAAAGCTGCAAGAAGCAGGCACCGGGGTGGCCACACCGGGCCCCAGGCTCATCACAGGACACACACAGCCAGAGGAGCAGAATGGGCTTCCCCTCCCCTGGCAGCCACCACCAATCGCTTTCCCAGAATCCCTCCCAGCGGTAGGTACCCATGAACTACTTCCGACGTCTTGCTCTCGCTCATTCATGCGTTCGGACATGTCCATTCACAGTTCCCTACACCCTCAGAGCCAGCTGGAGGACAAAGCGCTCCTGGGGTCTCTACCCTCATTCCCCGGTCCCTCTGGGGGTCTGGTTATTGCCCTCCTCGTTCTCTCCCGGGGAACTGGCCTGGAGATGGTGTATGGCACCCTCCCCCAGCTCCCAGGCACCAGCCTTCTTCTCCCAGGCACCAGTTCACTCCTTTCCCCTGGGTTTACTTTATTTATTTATTTTTTAAGTTTTTAAAAAATATTTTATTGATTTTTCACAGAGAGGAAGGGAGAGAGATAGAGAGCCTGAAACGTCAATGAGAGAGAAACATTGACCAGCCGCCTCCTACACACCCCCCTCCGGGGATGTGCCCGCAACCAATGTACATGCATTTGACCAGAATCAAACCCGGGACCTTTCAGTCCGCAGACTGACGCTCTACCACTGAGCCACACCGGTTTCGGCTATTTTTATTTTTGTAAAGGTACCGTATCCCTAGAGTAAAGGACTCTAAATATTAAAAGGTAAAACTCCCTCCTACACTGACCCTCCCACCCTCGGCTCTCCTCCCTGGAGGTAACCATGGTTACCAGTTTCTTGGAGAGCAGTATAGAGACAGTCTATGCATATATTGCATATTCATTCACTTGACAAATATTGAGTACCTTCCGGTTCTCTATACCATTCTCCTTCGTGGCAGCATAGTACTTCAACTCTAGATAATTTCCTATCTCTGGCAGCTCATCCCCCATCTGTAGGCACCCACGGATCTTCCTCTTCTGAACTGGTGCTGGGGCTGATGGCCTAGGTGGCCTGGGGGCAGGGCCAGGCACGCAAAAGTGGGGAAGGGACTGCTCCCCAGATTCTGCACCCACTCCATGCTTTCCAGCTTCCTCTCACACCTAAGCTCCCCTGGCCCACGGGGTCCCCAGCTTCCATGTTGTCACCCAGTCCACACAGGCCTGCGCCTCCCACTCCTCCAGCGGGAAAAGGAGATGCCGCAGCCCCTTCCCCACAATGCTCTCCAATCAGAGTGAGCTCAGGTCTGAGTGTCCACACTGCTCTCCGGAGCTCCCTAGAGGGTTGGCGGGGGGAGGGGGAGGGAATGAAACAGAGGGCCAACTTAGGATAGGTAAAATCTCCCTACCCCTCTGTGCCCTGAGACCCTCCAGTGGCCACAGGACGCCGGCCTGAGGAGGAGGAGGGCATGACACCAGAATTCCCAGCTGATTTCGTGGGATATAAGGCTGTCGGTGGTGCAGGAAAGACAGGTGGAGGAGAGAGGCCACAGCGAAGTGGTCTGAGGAGCCACACGCCATAAACTGGATTATTTTTTTTAAATATATTTTATTGATTTTTTACAGAGAGGAAGGGAGAAGGACAGAGAGCCAGAAACATGGGTGAGAGAGCAACATCGATCAGCTGCCTCCTGCACACCCCCCACCAGGGATGTGCCCGCAATCAAGGCACATGCCCCTGACCGGAATCAAACCCTGGACCCTTCAGTCCGCAGGCCGAAGCTCTATCCACCAAGCCAAACCGATTTCGGCCTTACACTGGATTAGGATAGTAACGATCTCGGGAGGCTCCATGTCATCGTCTGAGTGGCAGTGGTCTCACCAGCTCCAGAGCGCAGACCCCTCCTCCAAAGGCAACGGCTCTTATTTGCATCTCGTTTGCATATGAGATATTTCCCCTTCCAGAGGCGAAGCCGCAGCCCCTTCCTCAGCTACTCCCAACGGAGGCTCTGCGGCCTCCAGGCTGTCCGGACGGACGTCCCCAAACCCATCCTTCCGGCCATTCTCTGGGCGCCCTGACCTCCAGCCCGCAGGACCCTCCCATCCTCCGCCCGCACCCTTACCTATCCCAGCTCCCAGGCAGCGCCCCCCGATTCTTCGCTGGGTCCCGGGGACTCGGGAACCTGCGCCGCCTGGTGGCTGGCTGGGGGGAGGCTGAGAGCAGAGGGAAGGCTTCTGATTCGCCTACCCGGGGACGTGGAGTTTTGGAAAAAGTTCCCCCCGAACTTCCTGGAGCTAAATTTATCTCCCCGGGCCCTGGGGGGCGCAGAGATCCCCGCGACGATTAGCGTGGCGAGGCAGCCCGCTGCTCCCGCCCGCCGGCGCGCACCGGGCGCCGGGTTATAAATAGCGCCGCCCGCAGGGGTGGGGGAGCCGGCGGGAGGGGGGCAACCCTCGCCGCCGCGGCCCCTTCAGGTGGGTTGGGCGGTCGCGGTGGGGCGCCGGGGGGCGGCGAGCTGGGGGCGCTGCGGTCTGCGCGCCCCCGGCGGTTTCCTGGGCGGCGGGTTTTTCGAGGGAAGCGGGGGCCGCGGGGGGAAGCGGTGGGCGCCGGGCGCAGGCTGATGCTCCGGAGACTCACAGCGCGGCCCCCCACATTCCAGAACGCGCCCCCAGACCCACTCACTCAGGACCCCCCTTCCCCCCCAAGGCAGAACCTGGCCCTCCCCTGGCTCCTCCTGGCTCTGAGCATCGCGTTCCGCTGCCGATGCCCTTGGAGCACGTGGCCCGGCAGCCTGCACCCCGCTTCGCACTGCCCCCTCGCCCCTGGCACAGCCGCTCCCCAGACCAGCGCGACCCCGACGGCAGGCCTCCCCAGGAGGGCTCACTCCCAGCGGGGCCGTCCTCCTTCTCTGCGGCCCAGCCCTGCATTCTCCGGGTGCCTGTCCACCTCCTGCTGCTTTCCCCCCAAAATCAGTCCCTAGCTGGTGGCCTGCAGATCTAAGTTAGAACGTGCGATCGGGGACGCTCCCCTATCCCCAGGAGGCCCAGCACCTGCCCTCCAGCTCCCAGTTCCAGGCAGGGCCCGGGGGCCGGGCGGGGGTGGCGGAGGCCCCAGGGGCCCGGCCCGCTCTCCGGGGATGGGGGTGGGGGTGGGGGAGGAAGGGGCAGGGCCCGGCCCCGGCGGCGTTTCCCGGCCGCAGCCGTCTTCTTCGTGGCTCGGTGCGTGGAGGGCCCGCAATTGGGGAGTAGGCGGTAATTTCAAGTCGGGATTTCCCCCCACCCCCACCCCCCAACTTCTGGGCCAGGAAGGGAGATAGATGTGCGGACCAGACGAAGGGGAACGTGGGAGGGTCACTGAAGGACGCTCCGGAGGTCCCAGGACTGTCCAGCGGGGAATGGCATTTCGGCCCCGAAAGATCCGAGCTGGGCCCGGCCTGACGGCGGACACAGCCCCGCAGGGAAGAGGACGGGGCGAGCCTGAGGCGCCGGGCGCCCCTCGCTTATCTGTGCCCAAGGGCTGGTGCCAAGCAGGGCGCCCGCCCTCCCACTGCCCGCGGAGGCCCTGGTGCTGCCCTCCCCGGGGCACATCCCCGCCCTCCGTCCCCTCGGCCGTGCCCCTTCCTCCCCGAAGCGGCCCCCTCCCCGTGGCACTGGTGCACCGGGCACTGCCCCCTCGCCCCTGGCACAGCCGCCCCCCAGACCAGCGCGACCCCGACGGCGGGCGGAGGGAGGGGAAAGCCCGGCCTGGACCCCACGGGCCGGGCCCTCCACACCCGGAGTCTGACCGGCGGGGCTGGGAAGAAAACCCGGAGCAGTGACCAACCTCGGGACCCAAGGGGGACAGGGACGAGAGGAAAACCCGGAGCGGATTACCCTAGCGGGAGCGCCCCAGGCATGCTGCCGCCGCCCGCCCCCCTCCTTCCTAGAGCCCCCCTAATTCTCCAGTGAGATAATGTCTGGGGTGGGGGGCTGTTTGGCTTGGCCTGGGCCCTCAGGGGCGCCTCACACTTTCCGCCCCTGGCAGGGACACGGCGGCAGCTCGGAGGCTGAGTCACGGCCGAAAGAGGAGGGAGGGGCCGGGACTCTGTCCCTCCCCTGCGCGGGGATCTCGGGTCAGCCCGGGTGAGGGCCAGGGCCACACTGGCACCGCCCATTGTGGTCCAACAGGTTGAGCTGGTGCCCCGCGGAGCCACCTGCTGGAGAGGGAGGGAGGGGGGCCCCTGCGGAGGGGGGTAGGGAGGAGAAATTGAGTCCCACCCGGTTCGGCCGCGGGTGGCAGGACCCGGCCCGCGCGTCCGAATGGGATTCCGTTTTACACGAGGGCGAGGGGCTCTTTGGGGTACACAGCACGGCGGGCCCAGTTGGAAGTGTCCCTCACAGGCTACCTTCCTCCATTGTGGGGGGGTCTGAAAGTCGTATCCTGGTCCCCTCCAAACCCCAACGTCCTCAAATTACCCAGGCAGCCCCCTCCCCACCTGGTTCTCCGCGAATCCCCAATTAGAGGTCCCTCCTTCTCGGAGACTCAGTTTATCCATTCCGGGAAGCCGCGGATTGGAGGCCCGGAGCAGGAGCGAGAGCGAGCCTCTCCTCCCCCTCTTCCCCCCTCCCATCTTCGCGATCCCTGCTCCTCCCCTCTGACAAAGCCAAGGCCGCAGTGGCCACGGCCGGAGCGCAGAGGATGCTTGCCCAGGGCGCCGATCCCTCCCCGCGGGGCGCCGTCACGCGTGGGGGGGGACGCAGGGTGCTCGCAGCCTC